TTGAAATGCAAAAATGATGATTTTTGTGGGGTATTTTTAACGAAATTTTGACTTTAAAAACTCAGGAAAAGTCGAAAAAAAATTATATCTTGTGTCCTCTATTTTTTTGTGTATAGGTGCGTTAATTTGGCGTCGTTTAAGGTATCGCTCATTAAGATCTATGGAGACACTTTGGAGCTAAAATTCGTTAACCAAACCTAAAATATGGAAAAAATGAACAAAAAATACCTTTTTGAAGGCGGCGGGCCCAACTGCCAATTGGGAACAAAGGAACGCGATCAGGTACCAAATGTACAACCCTTGCTCGTTTGCTTTGCTCCCAATTGGCAGTTGGGCCCGCCGCCTTCAAAAATAGAGGACACAAGATATAATTTTTTTTCGACTTTTCCTGAGTTTTTAAAGTCAAAATTTCGTTAAAAATACCCCACAAAATTCATCATTTTTGCATTTCAATGCTTTATATTTCCCAGACGGTAAGCTGAAATCACAAAGTGTTTGGGCTCAACTTCTAGCTGTTTTAATTACCTATTCAAAATAGCAAAGTTCTGTACAACCAGACGTAAGATATTAAAGTTATGTGAAAAAAACTGTCGCTACCTCTGAAAAAAGCTTAAAAAAAAAATACCAGACTTCAAAAATTCTTCAAAAAAAAGTTCTGCCATAGAAAAAAAACCATAATTCTTTAAAAAATTTTAAAGCCCCATATCTATCAGAAAAAGTCGGTTTGGATCCTTGAGGAAAAAAAAAGTTCGGTTTTGTCGAGTAGTGTAATTAGCGTCAGCAGCGCCGGAGGAGGTGGGCTATAATGGGCTACTCTGGCAATAATAATAATCCGATCTGATTCAAATTCGGCGATCTGGTAGATATGGTCATTCTCTATCATACTGCGTTTTAAGTTTTATCGTATCTTTATAATTGTGCCTGCTAGAGATTTTCGTTCTTTGTGGGGACGGGGCGAAATTTCGAAATACATTTGTAGCCGTGTAATATCACATGAGTCTGGAAACAAAATTTGGTTGCTCTAGCTCTTATAGTCTCTGAGATCTAGGGGCTCATCGAGACAGACGAACGGACGGACAGACGGACATGGCTATATCGACTCGGCTATTGATTCTGATCAATAATATATATGCTTTAAGGGGTCGGAAACGTTTCCTTCTCTGCGTTGTACACATCCACTTTTACCACAAATCTAATATGAACCTTCACTTTTTTTGGAGTACGGGTGTAAAAATAAAGAACATAGGATTTTTTTTTTGAATTTGTATACCATTTCTCAAAAAAAAATAAAGGGGTTATTGTCTAGTTTATAGCTGCCATTCTTAGCCTTTCAGAATTTCAAAGTCCATTACAACCAAATTTAGGATACTTATGTTATTTGAAAAAAGAGAGCTACCACTGTAAAAAGAATATAAAAAATACCAGACTTCAAAAACTCTTCAAAAAATAGTTCTGCAATAGAAAAAAAATAATTCTTAAAAAAGATTTAAAGCTCAGAAAAAGTCGGTTTGGTTCGAATCGGAAAAAAGTTCCGTTTTTTCGAGTAGTGTTATTAAACTAAGTGAACAAATTTAAAATTGAAAAATAGGTGTTTTTGAGTAATTTCATATAAAAGATCAAATAATGAATAAAATATTAAAGACCGAACCGAGCACCAAACATACGCGACTCAATTACGATTATAAAATTTAGACTTGAACTTCAGCTATTGCTACAATAATAACACGTGTTATTTATAACACTTTTTCTTTATTTGGGTTATAATAATGAATCGATCTGATCCAAATTCTGCAGTCTGGACTGTAAAGATACTCATTCATTCAGTCTCTGTGAATTGAACAAGAAAAAATCCTAACCTTAAAATAGTTCGAGGGGTCAAGAAACTTTCTGCGCTTCCCAGGCTGTTCGATTCTCCATTCCCAAAGCCCCTACAGCTAGGTTCGTACAAGCTAGCATAAAATATGGACCGGAAACCGAATTTGGCCGTGGGTTCCAAATTCCAACAAAATCTTACTGTTATCAAAGCTAGTCACGAGGGATTCATTGAAATCTGGTCCATATCCCTACAAAAATAAGTATTCACCAAAGTACCGGAAGGAGCACCGCCGTGATCTTCGTCAAAGGGAGACTAGACGATAGTGAGTGCATCAGAGTAACCGCCAATCCATCTGCAAGATACAGCGAGGAGGAGATGGAGACGACGCGACCAGGAAAACTATGCGGGTATAGCTCTAGGATGTACAGCCCCTGGAACGCAGTATACTGGATGCGGCTAAATAACGCAATTGATTGAATCGGACTATCGATTCAGTGTCCTGTGGAGGCCCTTGCAGTCCTTGAAAATGGATTTTTTACATCATATTATTTTAGATACATATGGCAAGTTCCAATCTGGCGTTACGTTACATTCTTACGACAAAATTTGGACAAAGGATTATTAGGATTTATTATTATTATTATTATAAAACAGAAATGGTTTTCAAGGTTGGGGTACAAAATTGCAAAACTCTGCGAATTGGGTAGGTATATCTGTGTACAAATTTTTTGTGAATGCATATGGAATATGAAGCGTTTATTTTCAAAGTCATTTAATGTAAAAACCTTTCCTGTTTTTTTTGCTATAAGTCCGCGGATACATCTGATGAATGTTACTGTCGGGACGTTACCAAATTCCGAGATAATAACAGCTTTAAAATATACTGTTAGCCGAGATTGGTTAAATTTGCTGTTAAAATGTTTAGGTAGTTTAATATGTTAGAAAGAATTTGAGGAGAAAATTTTTATCAAAGTTATCAAAGTTTTATATGCACCTATATACAAAAAAATAAAGGTCATAGGATATAATATTTTTTTTTACTTTTTCCGAGTTTTAAAAGCCAAAATTTCGTTAAAAATACCCCAAAAAAATCATAATTTTTGCATTTCGATGCTTTATATTTCCCAGGCGGTAAGCTGAAATCACAAAGTGTTTGGGCTTAACTTCTAGCTGTTTTAATTATCTTTTCAGAATAGCAAGTTCTTTAAAGCCAGACGTAAGATACTAGAGTATCGTGGAAAAAAGAAAAGTTAACTCTGAAAAAGCTTTAAAAAACATAACAGATTTCAAAAATTCTTCAAAAAAAAAGTTGCCATAGAAAAAAAAATTTAATATCAAACTATTTCTAAGCCCTAAGTCTTTAAGAAAAAGTTGGTTTTGTTCCTTGAGAAAAACTCGTGTCGAGTAGTGTAACATTTCTAGATTAATAACTGTTAAAAATATTCAGGTTAGTCGAGATGAACCATTTTTCTTGTATTTTTTTAGATAGTCTAATATTTAAAAAAGACTTTGTGCTATAAATTTTCTCAAGAATCATCTTTCATATATCCTATATATAATACTAATAAAAAAACATGACTATAAAAATACCAAAAAAGTTCACTTTTTTCTTATGGGAATAGGTGTTCACATCAAAGTTAATGAAATTATATGTCAAGAGGGAAAATTAGTAATCTTTCATTAAATTTAGAGAATAATATCGCGTCAGAATTATATGGAAATATGGAGGTCTCGGTAGACCTCGTCAGAGAAATGACCATATGTACATATTTATGTATGTATGTGCATCCAGAGGTACGCGACGGAAAATTGTTGAATCCAAACCGTTATTTACATATGACATTGGTGTAATAGACTCTAAAGATGCTTTTTATACCCCTGAAGAAAGTTATATAAGATTGGTCATAAGTTTGCAGCGACAGAAAATGCGGAATACGGCCATAATAGTTTTGTAGTCTAACTTTAAGGGTGTATAATATAACGTTCGGCGCGAAGAAACTATCTTCATTGTGCCGCATCAACATAATTATGCTTACATTTGAAACTAAAGTTTTTTACGTATTGCCAGAAGGAAATTTTTCAAAGCATACCCAATAGGAAGAATATCATATCGCTAGTCTATCGAGTCAAGGGTGTTAAATGTCCTTTCAAACGCTTATTGCTTATGAAAAAGTTGAAGTTTAATTTTAAAACCATGCTACAAAATAGCATTCTATAAATAGTATAAGCCTGGCACGCTGTTTGAAGTTTCTGTATCAAAATATTTTATCAAAAGGGCAAATGCTATTGACTCCCCCCTGAACCAGCTTAAATCGATTATTGAATAAATAAATATGAATGAATAGATACATATGAATGTATAAAGGATATGTCAAGAACATATAAATTCGCAACTGAAAATAATTGAATTAGTCCCTTAAAATCTTCAAAAAGAGAAAAATCTCATGAGCAAAATCTTTAGGGCTATTAGTCTGACCGCAGCTGTATATGTGTAATATAATATAAGAGAACAACTTACTAGATGTAATTCGTCAATGGTTGCGTTTCTGGGTTGGCACACAAATTGCGGCCTAAACACATGCATAAGCTTTTATTTATATACTTATGTACATATGTATGTACATACAAATGTAGGTAAACACTGACGTATGTAAATATGTAGTGCGCTTTAAAGTTGTGGCCGAAACGCAAGAAATCAATTCAAGCTTTAAAGTTTGTATACACCAGTAAGTACGTTCATATTTACATACTTATATATGTATGTATGTACACTTTAAAAACAACTCGCAATAAATTAATAAATGGAAATATACAAATATGTAGGTATGCCTATATTGTACTGCACACATAAAAAGCTGAGTTCGGAAGTAGTGATAACCCCGATTGACAAAGCTGCAGAACTTCTCACAAAACCGCCACAAAAATTATTGTATGTTCGGACTTGACTGTAAGCACGTTCACTAACATATGTGCATGTACATATATGTATGTTCACATTTTCACTAAACCGTATAAATACAATACACAAAACAAGGATAAATAGTAATATTTATGCATTTTTATACAATACACATGGAATATTAGAGACTCTAAGCTCGCCTATTTTACAGTTTTATTATTTCGTTGAAATTGTTTTTAATTTTGTTTGTTCAAAGTAAAGCTAATAATTTTGATAAAAACTAACCCCCTGGTCTTGCTGACACCTCAGAATCCAGCGCAAATAATACGTCTGAATTACGCGTGGTAGTTAAGCTTTATACCAAAATAAAATGAAAGCTATTACTGGCAGCTTTGAAAGCTTTTTCCATCAGTGTGTACAATGGGCGCCTAAAATAAAATCCTAGTTACAATATTTGAATACTCGTTTAAATCTATATACATAATTGTCTGGTCTTAGATTACTATTTGATTCATCATTAAGTGCTTGGTAGTATTTTCTTCACTCAGAGCAACGAGTTGCTTAGTATATGCTGAGACAAGCTTTTTGAAGCCTTATTCTCTAACATGCAATTCGTGACCACACATTTCCCTCTCACTCGTACTCAGCATCCCCATGGCTACGTTATACTCCTACTCTCAATAGGAAATTGACAAGAATAACGGAGAGCAAAATAAAATCTTATGTGCATCGTTTGACATTGGCAGCACTTGTTCATTGATTTTAAACGTTCATTTGAATTGTTGACCGTTTTCCGCAGTATTGAGCAAGACATTCAATGGTTCTGGTGGTGTCTCAATTTAATATAGTTGCACTTCTCCTGATGTGCAACACATATCTGCCTCATGTAGGAATTTGAGCGCCTGACGTACCGGCGCTCTTTTCTCCATTCCAATTGTCGTTGATTTCGTTCATCTTGTTCCTCTTGTGATTGGGATTTTTGCGATTGCGACGTGCTCGTACGCAAATTTGTATTATCTTGTTCGATTCGTTCGCATTTTCTTCCTGCTTTCCTATTTCGCTTTTTTGTTTTGTTTTATAAGTAAGACGTAAGACGGCCCCAATAGTAAATTTCTCAATATATCACACACCTTTCAAAATCACAAAACACACGTACAAATAAATCAAAGCATTCTTGATTATTTTACATTTTGTATGGTATGTTGAAAAATTTTTCATACAAAAATGCATCTTAAAAATCACAACGGGCCGAAACCGGTCTAAGTGTATCGGGTTCCTGGCGATCCCGACAGCCGCCTTAACTAGAGTGGACCGCCAACATAGCATGATGGGAGAAGAGGTTAAGATTACAGATCTTAAGATGAGGTCGGGTGTGAAATCGATCCACTGGCCAAGAACCGTTATTCGATTAGGGAAAGATGGGCGACGACGATGGATAAGTACGGCTTGTAGAAAATTGCAACGGACAAATTCGAGATCTTCTTGTGGACCCTCTCGTCAGTTACGTAAGTTTGGACTTGCATTAAAGTTTTGAACTAATATAGGGCACCATCCTGGCTACGTATTCTACGAACACCGAAGCATCGATATCACGCAAGATAGTAAAGGTTGTACGGCAAAAAAAATGTATAAAGTCTAAAATGTGAGGCACTCCGAAATCTGCAAAGCCCTAAATTTAAATAAATGTTATTGTACAACTTTTTATTTAGACATCTTAACAAATGGCAGCCACATACACATTGAATATTATTTTTCTTGTTTACGAATGTATACTTAAATAACTACAAAAATCCTCCATTTCCACATTGCAGTACATTAAAACAAACGCTGCACACCCTGACTGGCTTATTTATTCCGAATTTAATAATAGGCACATCGTTGCTGGAACACTTGGAACACAAGACACGTCCGCAATGGCGACTTAATTAAATATCGAACGAGAAAAAATATTTAAATATTTTGGCAGTCAATTTAGTTTTAAAATACTTACCAATGGTGTTTTCGCATCGTAATAGAAAATTTTGTGGTACATTCTTGGCACAAGTCGGACTCTGCCCACGGTGACTCCTGCGGTAGTTGGTCCAACAACTTATGGAGAAGTTGATCTGTGGCTAGTTTGAAATTAAAAATATTAATTCCTTCCCTATTTTCAGTGCCCAAACATGCCCCAGCCTTTACAAGCACTTTGCAAAGAGGCGCCTGGCCACGCATGAAGGAGAGCAGTAACGGCGTATTACCATCCATGTCAGGAGTATTTATGGGATACTTTGGCATACACTCAAAAAACAGCTCACAAATGGCCGCGGCAGTATTGTCCTCCACCACACGGCACAGTTCATGCATAGGATTGCGCCCCTTCAAATTTGTTGCCTCAGCATTTACCCTAGACTCTGTCAAAAGTTCCCGCACAATTGAAAGTTGACCACCACGCACAGCCAGATGCAAGGCATTGTTACCTTCGGCATCAGGTGCATCGTAGTCTGCACTGTTTTGGATCAGCGCAGATACGGCCGAAATATTTCCCCGCTCAATTGCAATGTGCAGCGGTATTTTTTGAACAGCATCCCGCTCATTAATACGGGCACCAGCTAAAAGTAAATTCCGAGTGATCATTTCGTTTTCGGACGCAGCTGCCAGATGCAAGGGTGTAGATTGGTTGGCATCGTGCACACGTGAATTGACGTCTACTTGTATAGCTAGCAAAAACAGAACGCTTTCTAAATCATCTTTCATGATTGCTAAATGCAAAAAGTTGCGACCACGCTGATCCATTTGCTCCGCCGCAGTAGGAAGTCGTTCTAATATCCGCTGTGCGGCTTTATGGTTGCGTATGGCCAAGGCAGATGCGAAAGGTGTGTTTCCAGACATATCACGTAACTTTAGATCTATACCAGGGTGACAAAGAAGAATTGTTATTATCTCTTCGTGTTGGTTTTCAATGGATATGTGAAGGGGCGTTTTTTTCTCGGAATCCAGTACGTTCACATTAGCTCCATGATCAATTAGAGTCTGAAGTACTTTGGTGAGACCCCATTGGCAACAGAGATGCAATGGGGATGCTTTTTCTCGAACCTCGTCTCCACCTTCCCCATTCGGCCCTGGCTGACGGGCAGAGTCCAGGTCACACTGGCTACGAATAAGGAATACAGCAATAGACTCTTTGTTCTCATCTATTGCGCGATGTAGGAGCGTCTGCTGGCATCCCTCAGGACCTTCGCTCCAACAGTCCGTATCAACGCCATGACGCACAAGTACCTGTGCCACTTCCTCAAATTCCAATTCCAAAGCGGTCCACAATGGTGCATCCCCTTTTCCATTGGCGGCATTGAGTGCTACTCCCCGAGCGCATAGCGCGTCCACGACTTTTGGGAGGTCTTTCTTAATGGACAGCTGCAACGTAGAATCCTTTTTACCTAGTAATGTCATAAAATATATAATTAAAATAAGTAACAAGACCCTTTGAATGTTTTCTTTTTACCTGTCACCGCGTTTATATCTGCACCGTTCTCTATTAAAAATAATGCCGTATCGCTATCGCTGTTGAGTATTGCTTGATGCAAAAGGGTAAAGTCGTCTCTATTTCTTGCGTTAACATCCGCGCCTCCTTTTATAAGAATGGAGACCAGATGAGTTCTATTCAGAGATAGGCATAGACCCAGCGGCGAATCGCCATTTATATCCTTGCAGTTGAAATCAGGAACTTCAGTTGCATTGATTTCCACTTGAGAAAACGCTTCTATTGCACGAATGGCATTAGCTTCGACTGCCATATGTAGAGCTGATTTCATTCCGTTTTCATTTGATTGCAAATTGCACGATGCACCGTTTGTGAGCAATTTTGTTACTAGGTTGGACATATTCTTTGTCGCTGCAATGTGTAAAGCAGAGAGTCCACTAAAGTTTATATGGTCAAGACTAGCAAAGTCTGCCAAAAATATGGCGGCGCCTTCGAAACGTTGTCCAGCATTAGCGAGCATCTGAAGCAGACTGTCTCCAGTTGCCGATTTTATAGGGTTAGGTCGAGCGCCCATTTTGAGCAGTTTCTGAGCCAACTTGAAATCTGCGTCCTCTAACGTTAAGCATAGTTCAAGAGCGCACTTTTCATCGAAAGTGCACATGTTGATATCAATATTAGGCACTTCAAGTAGTTGATTTAGCATTATGATATTTTGGCTTTCGATCGCAACGTGCAAAGGTGTTTCGCCCCGAACATTTTGAACATTAACGTTAGCTTGGCGCTGTAAAATGTTTTTCCCTAGTTCATTTATTTGTTCAAATGTCTCGTGCTCAGTCTGACTCTCAACGTAACTGCATATGATATGAAGCGCAGTATCTGACGAGGGTCTGAAAAACGGAAGTTTTTCACACTTATTTAGTTATTGCATGTGATTAGAGCTGAGTTTTTTACCTGGATAGAAGATCTAAAAGGCAGTTTTGGTCCAAAAGAAATTTCGCCGAAAAAACATCGCCTTTTTTTAAAGCATCAATTAATAGAGTGGATCCCTGTTGAAACGGTTATTTAGTCAAAGGAAATCTTTATATTTGATTTGGTGCTTACCTTGGCATCATACGCATTAATATTGGCTCTTCCGTTTTTCACAAGGGTTTGAGCTATCTGGAAATTTTTTGCCGATAGGGCCATTTGAAGCGGCAGTTGACCATGTTCAGACAAACTGTTTACCAACTCTGGTAGCTAGAAAATTGGAAATACGACACAAATTAGGAAATTAACATCCAAGTAAGCATGTTCTTATCTATGTTAATAACATTTTGGTCACTTTCATGATATGTACAAATATAGATTAATTAGGCACGGTAGTCTCAGAGCGTTTGTGTACGCAGAAACCAGGCACAAAGCCACACCAGAAAAAGCATTGCGCACCGTCATCCATATTTTTAAACGAGAGGGGACGATGTGACATTGCCTCAGTGACCGCGACTCTACTTTTATACCAGTACTCAGTCTGTGCCGTTGGTGCAGTTTTATTTTATCTACATTTACAGTGTCTCCTGCGCCAAAGGTCCGACACTAAACGGGGCAGAGTGTGTGAGCGAGAGCAAGAATAAGTAGCGCTGCAGCACTGGAAGGGGGTAGCATCGTCAAATAATGTTCTTCATTCTGTCTATAATAATGATCGGATCTGATCCAGATTCGGTATTCTGGTAGATATGGTCATTCTCTACGATAATAGGTTTTTCGTTTTCTCGTATCTTCAAATTTGTGGATGCCACAGATTTTCGTCCTTTGTGGGGGCGAAATAACAATTATAAAACCCTATTTTTTTCTTCAAATGCCTCTTCGTTTAAATGTTGTGCGTCCGAGTTTTACGTGAACGCACTCATTTACTCAAACTCTTCCGGCGTATCATTTAGTTTCACTCAATTCATTTTGAGAATTTTCGATTCGAATGTCGTTTTTTTTACATATGAAAACAAGCATGCAGATGTTTATATACATATGTAAAAACATACATATGCATGTACATATATTGTTCATACCCTGCAGTACCAGAAGTGAGCGATGACAAATGTCAACTACGCGTCATTCAGGATTATTTCTCTGCCGCTGCTACAGACGAGTAGAATATGACGTCGACGTCGCGATCGACGCGTCGGTCAGACCAAACTCTTTTTATACCCGTACTCAAAAAAGAGTTAAGGGGTATATTAGATTTGTGGTAAAAGTGGATGAGTGTAACGCAGAGAAGGAAAATTTTCCGACTCCATAAAGCAGGGGTCGGCACACAGACTCATACATTTTTTTGGTGCGTTTGTGTGCGAAAACAACAGACACGAAGTCAAATACGTTACTTATTTCTCTGCCGCTGCGAAAGCCGAAGAATTGTGCAAAGGGCACACGAATGCTTTTCTCTGCTGGTACGTCATCAGGCAGAATAACGAAACCACACGAAGTCTTTACGCTGTACGTGTGCCGACTGCGCTGCCCGAAATTTTTTCCTATGCACAGTGCATACGACGCTGCCGACCTATGCCATAAAGTATATATATTCTTGATCAGCATCAATAGCCGAGTCGATATAGCCATGTCTGTCTTTCCGTCTGTCCGTCTGTCTGTCTGTTTGTCTGTCTGTCTGTCTGTCTGTCTGTCTGACTGTCCGTCTTGTTGAGCGCCTAGATCTCAGAGACTATAAGAGATAGGGCAACCAAATTTGGTTTCCACACTCATGTGATATCACACTGCTACAAGTGTATTTCAAAATTTCGCCCCGCCCCCTTCCGTCCACACAAAGGACGAAAATCTGTGGCTGGCACATTTTTAAAGATACGATAAAACTAAAAACGCAGTATCGTAGAAAATGCCCATATCTACCAGATTGCCAAATCTGAACTAGATCGGATCGAATTATAGCCAGAATGAAGAAATTAATTTTCTGTTGCTTCCCCTGCCCCCTCCTGACATCAACCAAGCAACTCATTTTCCTTCTCGCTCGCACACTCTGCCGCGTTCAGTGCGCGAGCAACCCCTAGCGGAGGAGATGTAGAATCTAAATGGAATATGTACAATCTACATGTTAGATGTAGAATATACATTGTATAGGTAGATGTAGATAGCAGATGTAGCAAAAAAATGTAAAATGTAAAATTTTTTATTTTTTTTTATAAAATTGTAAATAATCATAAGCTCAAAAATGTATATGCTGACTGAGTACGGGTATAAGTAGAGTCGCGTCCCCAGAAGCGACTCACACGTTCCTTCTCGTTTTTCTTTGTTTCTTTCTGTTACGACTCGTGCCGTAACAGAATTAGGTTTTGCCGTCGGCGTCGACAACGTTGTTATAATTGTGCGGTGAAAAGTGAGACGCAGGTTTTGTTTATTTTGGGCAAAATTATTATCAGGTAAGTGCAGTGTTTCATTTAATTAAAAATAGTCTATTGTGCGTTGTAAAAAATGAAGAAAATGTGATATTGCGAAATTAAATGCGTTTTGGACGAAATTTTTCATTTCCAACGAAAAAAAAAAAAAAAACCCGAGTGGTTCTTGCAAAGCTTGAGTCGAACAGGTACATATCTTGGCGAGTCTTTTGTTTTTGGCGCAAATGCACTGCTGATCTACTGAGAGCATTGTTAACAAATTGAAAAATATTTTAATTAACTCATCTTAGTTTAAAGGCGATTCAGTTGAATGACCACGACGACCTTACGAACATGAGCAAATCAAAAAAACTAAAAAGGTTCTGTGGAAAAAAGAACACACAGCACAAAAATGTGAATATGTATACATTTTTATAAGAAAACAATAAATAAAAGAAATTTAATATTTTAAAACAGAATTTACCCATGCCTTTTTCATCAAAATATCAAAATTTGTACTTAAATACATCACTTATTAGGGCCTTACTTTTTAAGGGAAATTCATCGCTTATTAAGGCCTTACTTTTCAAGGGAAATTCATCGCTTATTAAGGCCTTACTTTTCAAGGGAAATTCATCGCTTATTAAGGCCTTACTTTTTAAGGGAAATTCATCGCTTATTAAGGCCTTACTTTCGGCTAATTCTCGCTTACTATGTCATCGATTATGCTCCTAGGACATCCCTGTGTTAAAGTAAACAGCCCATCGTATGGCAGGTCATCGCTTATGTCATCGAGCTGCATGACGTTGCCATCGATGTGTGATGTCTTAAACATCGCTTACCCGTACTGCAGGGTAATTACTCGAAAGCCATCCATGTATAAATAAAAAAAAGGTGAAGTGTTTTGCATCGATTCATTTACATATATACATATTTACTTACATATGTATGTATGTAACTATTTATTCATGTACGCATAAAACTTAAACTAAAGATGGGCGGAAGAGCCATGCTTTTGAAGTACTGACCAACATGGTTATCAATCGAGAGCACGAGCACGCACGAGTTGAAACTGCCCATATTGTACATATTTATTTATTTTATTTTATTTATTTATATAATTGTAGACTAAGATAAATACGAAGGTATAGAGCGAAGAGGCCTTCAAGCTTTCATTTAGAAATTATGTATAATACAGAATTGAGGAATGTTGCGCGAATGACATTTATCGATAGCATACTGGTCTCGGTCTCGCAGCACGAATTTAGTTTTTCAGGCGCTGAGTTTACCCCAGGGCCCTGACCATCTCTAGTTCAACATGTCGATCGATATATCTAAGTATGTATGTGCGTACATATGTAGAAAATTTCATAGCTGTTTCAATTCTATTAAGCAGAGCGGCGGCTAGTAGTAGGTTACTTACAAGTGACCAGTGCCTCGCAGTCTTTGCCACTTGCTCACAGTGATGCGTGTGTTTGTTTGCAGAAAACAAGTCTGTTCTGCGTAGAATAAACCGTGCATGAATACATACATACATATGTATGTTTTTGGGTAAGGTATTTATTTTTAATTATTTTTTAGTTACTTAAACATGTACCGGAAGTGAAATATGTATAAATGTATGTAAAAATGTATGGAAATCATAGCAGCACTGAGCTAATTCATGCATACATACATACCCGTACCATGTATGTGTGTACGAGTCTCAGGGCCACTTTCGCCCATTACCGGCGAACTGGTCTCTGACTGAATGTGAATGAGCAGTACATACATACATATATACATGCATACATACTAACATAGAAATATGCAGTAAATTTTTTAACTTTCGATTTCTAAAATCTAGTTAAATTATAACCCGCGAGAGCATTGGCAGAAACATTGAAATACAATCATGGCATGCAGCCCTCAAGCAGGAGCAGGTAGCAGAGGCTACATATTGAACGGAGTATTTTCATTTTTTGTTGCAGTAACGCTGGGTTTGTATTGTTTTTGGAAAAATAATTAATTTAAGTTCCTCTCTATGTTTAAAGGTTTCAAAGTAATATTTCCAGAGGGTATTCCGATGTTTCTTGGAACGAGAAATATCATATTGTACATACATATTGACCAGTACCAACAGCTAAGTCGAATCCATATCCGTCAGTTTTTTTCTACTCAAAATTGTCCCTTAGTTTTAAAGCCAAATACTATCCCAATACATTTCACAGGCTCCTCACTTTGCTGCAGTCAATAAAAGAGTAGGATTGCCTTATCATAATGGTATACATATTTACATAAATATGTAGCTGGCTGTGTCGGTCAAAAATTACCGATCATATTTCTTACCCATTGATAGCTAACAATTGCAATCTAAAACATAAATGTACATAATCTAAATACATACATTTGTAAATATGTTCCTTGCGTTGTTATGGCGAACAAGTGTTGTCACTATGTCAACGGATGTTCGACATTATCATTATGTCGCAATGAACCTAGACATATCGTATTTTGCATTCTTCAGGAGGGTATAAATATACATACATACATACATAGACAGAAAAATCTTTCAGTCCACAATGTCGTGTAGAAAAAAAACTACTTGTAAGCGAATGTGTGGTTCCTTTTCTAAAGAACGAGAGTTTGCGCGGGATACTCTGTCCCATGTAGATATATTCTTGGAAGCAGAGGTTAGCACTCCCGATTATCACTACCCAGATAAATAATTCAATTTAATTTCAAGATAAATTAAGTTCTCAAGTTAAGTTGAAGATACTTATAAATATTTTTCTCGCTGGTGGGAGTATTTAAGAGGAATCATTGATATCGAAGCGTTGGAGTTTATTTAATTATGGACGAGGTTAGTTTTGCAAGCATTAACCTTGCTTATAGTAAACTGCACAGGTTGCTATGACCAAACCCTCTTATAATATTTTATATTTGTCGTGGAAATAACGAATGTGTGTGTGCACAAAACTTATTTGGATTGAGTTTCGAAGGTCGTTAGATTTTAAAAGTGAATTCATTTTTTATCAAGTGATGGTGAGAACGAAAATTTTTCTCTGTTGATACGATTGTACAGTATGATGAACTCAGAAACACGATACGGCTAGATCGACTCAATATGTTTTCGTTACTGAGTGGAAAAAGGTTCTTAGTACTGATAAATAAAGCGAATGCATAGTAATTAAGAAGTACGAGCATGTGATAGTCTTGTTAAGATTAATATGCTAAAAAATAAAAATAAAATAAACTTCTTGTGTTGCTGCAATAGGAAACCCAGGAAATTTATACATATTTTAATGCTACTTTAAAATGAATGCCGAATTTTTTTTTCACTTTCAGGAAAAGGTTCATTAGCTGATATATTACAATGTTATAAGTGCTCCGTAACTATAGAAAAGTATGTCGTGGAGAACCGAACAATTACGACCCCACTGTGCTCGAAATTTGAGGAGAACGATGGTTACATGACGCCCTGCCCATATTCAACAATGTGTTTGAAAACAATTTCTATTTTACACTTACAAAATGGTCAAAAGCAAGAAGCTGTGACAAGAGGATGTGCCCAACAAAAGAATACCACTCAGGTTTGATCTATCATTGACAAGATTGTATTTGATTGAATATTTGATGTTGATTGTCTGTTCTTTTCTCAGATATTCCGCAATAAACAATGGGAACAAGAGCACCTGGTTCAGGAAGTGTACGATGAGGGGTGCACAGAAGTAAAAGACAATCACTTGGCGGGATCAGCAAAAATAAATTGTTACTGCCGCGGAGAACTGTGCAATTCATCAAGTCTACCTAGCATTGACCCAAATATTATGATCCTTATTGTTTTACTTCAAACCTTGTGGCTCATGCTTTCTCCGAGTACCTAATCCTGCTGACTGAAATAATATCTATACGGGAAAGCTTCTTTTTCATTAGATTTAAGTGCTTTATTGTGATAAATTATTAAATGTGCAAATTTAACCTACGAGTAAATGTCGCATAGCTCGTGAAAAGTACTCATTAAAATTTGTTAAATAAAATACTGTACAACAACGGATGCTACCACATGGTTCAACATTATTATTATTATCAGCTGCAACAGAGCTGTAACATGAGTGATGGAGTTATTGCAACTGTGGTCTCAGGCTCTCCAGGGATATTATATGTTGTTTAATGCTATAATTCTCCTTATATTAATGGTAGTATACAGCAATCACCAATCCTAACAATCTCAATCAGAAAACTCATTTCCAAAAATTATTAGCTACAAATAAAAGGAAATGAAACTGCTGACATAACGCCCCAATTGACTGCCGAATGTTCCAAAAACATTTATAGTACCTAAATCATTTGATTTATACCTTTTGGTTTGAAGAATTTTTCGAGTTTTGAGAAATGTCAATAGTAGCTGGGAGCTACATCAGGAAAGGAAAAAATAATTTCAAATAACATTATTCAGTTTAGTCATTATTGCCATTGACAAATGATCGTGTGTATTGATTTTCGATTGACAAAAATCATTTTGTTTTTTATCAACACAAACATTTTTTTTTTCATGGTTGCTAAAATTTTATTGGAATGTGGCCGAAATGAATATAAGATAACAAATAAGAGTCCAAATGAAATCCAACATCTTGACTGCCAAATAAGGAGGCGATTTTGGTACCCAAGTTAACGAGACTTTATGACGGCAGGTGAGACGAAGAGACGAAGAAAGTTAGAACTGTAATTAATTTCACGCACTAAGCGCAGATGACAGTTTCCGTTCGAACTAATAGAACTCTGTAGTTCTTATACATATATATATATAAATCTATATTATCTTATATACATATATAAAATCTTTCCAATTGTTTACTTTAAAATATATTTCTTTTCTTTTTCTAGCAGGTTGGTATGCATGTGTTTTGTTTGGTTGGTTTGGTAATGAGAAGGAATAGAAGTAGTTTTTATAGAAATTCAGTAAAATGAACATTCAAATCGTTGATTCGGTGAATTTTTCTTTAAATATGTATAATTTGTTCTTATAGTAAAGCGTGCTTAGATTGAACAGACCACCAACTTTCATTAATAAAATTTAAGTCTTTTTTGTGAAAAATGTATAATCAGAATTTATGTATATATGTACATATATATGTATGTTTGTATATAGCAGCCAACTGAAGGAATGATCAGTACGAGCTGGAGGGCACGAAAAAAGTTTAAATTAACTTACTGCGTCATCATTCTCCACAAGGCACAGGAACACGACGTCTTCCCTCAGGAGTCTCACTGCAGCGTGTAGTGGATGTTTCGTTTTATTCTTAAGCATTTTAAACAGTAATGGGCCAGACATATGTTCAAAGTCTTGGGCTGTTAGGTCATCCCAGTGGGTGGATATAATGCCGGAACAATATTCTAGGAGCGTAGACGCTGCCACTTCTTCGGCCACACAATAAAATCGTACGCACGATCTCACTCCAACCGAAGCTACTAGTGCTCGCTCACACAAGCCTAAAAGGGCAGGTAGCCCAAATCGATGCGCAGCTTTAAGTAGATCTAACGCCAATCGGTCGTGCTGTAAATCAATTAAATCGGTGTAAATCCAACGCAACAGAGCCATAACAACATCCTCCTCTAGATCGCTCCAGTCGAGCTCTTGAGTACTGCCCAACACATCGTCGCGCCATTTCTCAGATCGTGCATGGAGGACAAACTTATGTGCTGGAACTGTTTTCGTGTTTGTTCGGATGCTAACATCTGAATATGTCGGACGCCCATACAATGAAGCGACTGTCAATGCTAGTCTGGAGACAAAACTACTGAGTTCTCCAGAGAGCTCTGCATCCGCTGATGAGGCAACAATTTCGTTAAACTTTCGCTCTAGTTCCGCATAACTACGCTGCAACTTTGTATATTCTTCCTTTAATAACGCCAAGTGGTTTTCCAGTTTTTGAACGGAAGCTGCGTCGTTGCAACCTGTAAATATGAATATTCATGAATATAAACATAAATCCTGAACAACAAAAATTACCACATAGAACAGATCTCTTACGAAAACTGACAAAGTACAAGCTAAGCTGCATGCACACATACATTTGTATGTAAAACAAAAAAAATAAAACAATTGATAGTACGTAAATAAGGGCAAACACCGAAAACTTAAGACAATCTCTACCTATTTGCGAAACATACCCATTATAAATAAAATTGTTCTCTTCCAAATTAATAGTAAAGTTTATTTTATGAAAACCCTGTGCAATTAATATGAGGCGTAGACGGCTGTTTTTGTTATCGCTGCAAAAGCAGCTGTGCTCGACTCACAGTTGAACTAGTTCTTTGAAACTAGATATTTTCATTAACAACATTTGTGAATACCCATTATTTTTTAGTTCAACCATAAAACCCACTTTTTTATTTTATGTATTTAAATTTATAAATTATTTACACATTAAACTAATAATTAATAAACTTATATTTATATATATAATGAAACTGGAGCGACGATCCCAACAATTAGCTAAATTCACAATTCTGCCGATTCCTGAAGATGACAAAGACGAAATGTAAATTAATTAAATCAATAGATTATATTATTTCTTAAACTTGAAAGTTTCCAAAAAACAATAATCTAATTTGTTTCCTGTACTATTTGGATTGCCAAGTCTATGAGATACAGTCGGTTTGATGCCATACAAACCTTGGACTTTTTTAACTTACCATAACAAATACAATCACGATATATTCCCATGAAAGGGGGATGGATCGGTGCAATGAGGATCAGAGAACATAGGAGACCAAGGTATAAGAGGTAATTTTTCAAAAGATCGAGGAAAGACATCATATTCCTTTAATTAGGATCCGTTGCTTTAGTGGCCTTTAAAAAAAAAGGATGCGGTATAAAGTCGAACGCAAATCGAGTGACTAAATGCAACACTTCGAAATGTACACGGTTTTGTCCAGGGGCAATGCGGGCTGATAACGATCCCAATCATCGAGAATATTTGAGCACATTCTTTAATTTTCTGACAACCGTCATCAGTTCCAAGATAGGCAAATATCAACCGGAGATATAAAAGTCTATGCCATCAAACTAGGAACCGAAGGACATGACGAAACATGTCCCAACTCAGCCACTTAAAAATTCATGTGTAGTGTAGTGATTCTATGCAGATGCTGATCAAAAAGGGGTCGGAAATATCCACGTATATACATTAGTGAGGTAGAAAAAGGTAGAGTACTTTAAGTAAGAATGTAAAGCGCAAAAAAAAAAACGAATTCACAAGCATCGTTTATTAAACTACTGATTTGTTAACAAATATTTTCAAAGAATAAGCTTATCTTGCTGTATTCATGTTAAATTACTTCAGTTTTGAGAACAGACTGTGTGCAACGCAGTGATCCAGTTCAGCAACATAGTCAAATAACTCTTCCATGCACGTCTCCGTGGTCTTGGATCGCCCGTTAACACGATCATTGCACTCCTGGTATTTATTGTACAAGGACTCGATATGACCCTTTGATTGGCATTTTTCCTGATGTGATGTGTAACAAAAACCATATATGTAATCGCATTTTCAGTGCAAGATTTATTATTCTTACCCTCAATGCTGCTTGGGGATCAACCAACTCCTCTTCATCGTCGGCCTTAACCACAGGCATCGAAAACAAACTTCTAAAGGCCATATTTGTAGCTGCAATTGTTGAAAATGTCTATAAATTTAATTGTATTTTTTTTCCTATATGTACATAAGAGACACATAAACATGATTTTAAGAAACTTAAATTAAAACGAGAAATGTAATGGAGCACACAATAGTATGGTCAATGAATTTTAAATCCAATTATAATATCCACAAAACATTAATATAAACCTTTTTCAGAAATTGGCTGTGATGCAACACGACGGACTATGATGTCTGGGATAGCGAGGCTGCCATACAATTTATTTTACAAAGCAACGCTGTGCCTCTTATATCGTTTTATTAAAAATGACAATGGTATTCCTGCATATATTTTTACATTCACTTGTATGAAATTGCAAACACAACTCAACTACTTTTTTAGGTTTGCGTTCGTTAGTTTTAATGCGTTTTTTTTTAGCGACATCGGGATCAGTAGTATAAACCAAATTATGCACACCGTAACACGATTTGTTGTTAATTTTGTTTGGATAGTGTGAGTTTAGGCCAGTAGATGACCTTCTACAAAATTTCAGAAAATATATTCGTGTGTACATCTTTTGATGATATTTGTATTGAAATCAAAAAACGAAATAGATAAATAACATAATCGGTCAGAATTTAAATTTAAATTAATTTTGAACAATTTTTATAATTGATTTTATTCAGTTTTTATTCCTGGTCTCACAATTTTCTAGTTCAGTGTAGTGCCGTGAAGGGTATATTTGTGACTAACATACATCGATAGATACACGGTTGCATCCCTACGAGTTGGAGGCCTCGTTTTCTGTGTATTTTTGCTTCGCATTTTATATTTTGAGTATTGTGCTGCTTAAGGATTTTCACAATTTGCTTAACCGATTGAGATCCAAGTAAAGAAACAAGGACCTACTATGCACAATTTCTTGAGAGAATAAATAGAGCTATTTTAAATGAAAAAATACACATTTACACTCTCGAGTCTGCTATTCACCCTTTTCATAATTTTACAGACACGAACTGAAGCCGAGAGCCCGTAGGAAAGTAACGCTGGCGCCTGCCGCGTTCTCAGCTGAGGCAATCCGACGGATCAGATACATTTGTGTGGTATGTTTTTATGTTACGTTACTCTAATGTGAACTAATTTTGTTTGATAACAACCATAACATTGCATTATTAACGAAAATGTTACGTGTTGACTGCTAAAAGTATCGTATGCAATTTTAGGAAGGTTCTGTGAACGTGGCGAGCGGCTATGTCCATAAAGACGGGCGACAGCGGTTCCGGCAATGGGAACGGATATTTAGACAGCACGCGTTCGCTTATAAACGGATCTGAATCGTCGGGCGACCAGACGCACTGTTTGATGCACATGCAGAACGACCGCGACATCAACGCCTCCAACACCAGCAGTAACAATGCACTGGCCATATCGCAAACCAAAATGCACCGAAATTTCAAGCTACTGGCTGATCCGCAGCTAGTGAAATGTGGCGCCAAACTATATCGCTACGATGGCGTCGTACCGGGCGATCCTATATATCCAACAATAACGCCCAGGGATCCACGCAACCCTCTTATTCGAATTCGAACCAGACCTGTAGAGCCCCTGCTGTTGCTTATACCTAGGTATGTTTTAAGAAGTTCCCCAGGTTCAAAGCTGAAACTAAGAAACTAAACCTACTAAATGAAACTACAGATTTGTAATCGATGCGGACTACGTGGGAACGCCACCTGCGATTGAAGTTACTGTTGTGAACCTTAACGACAACATCGATAAGCAGTTCCTCTCCAGCCTGTTGGACAAGTGTGGGACATCAGACGAAATCAACATATACCATCATCCCACAACAAACAAGCATTTGGGCATTGCTCGCATTGTGTTTGAGAGCACGAAGGGTGCACGGCAGTTCGTTGAGAAGTACAATCAAAAGTCGGTGATGGGAAAGGTATGAAGGATGATTTTTCGTTCTTCGTTTATTTGCATTGAATGTATGTACCTCTTTGTTTCAGATCTTAAATGTTTTCTGCGATCCCTTTGGTGCGATTTTAAGGAAACATATTGAGACTTTAACGAATCCAGTTGTGCCGAAGCCAGTGTTGGGTGGCACCGCCACAAAAGCGCCACCACATCCTGCCGTTGCACTGGGCTCACAGCCCGACTTGGCCGACTATAGCCACGATTACAGTGAGAAGAGCGCTGTGGATCACTTAAATAGTGGATACAGTTCTTTTCCAAAGACTTCTGACATTGGGGAACGAAGCAGGGATCGCAACTGGGAGCGGGATCGGGAGCGAGAACGTGATCGTGATCGAGACCGAGATCGTGATCGTGATCGGGATCGATATTACAAGGATAGCAGTCAACATTCCGCAGAAAGATGTTATGATCGTGATCGGGCGATGCGTGAGAAGTACGGATCGTCAGTACGCCATGATCGGCATTTTTATCGCCGGCGGTCTAGAGATAAAAGTCCAGACCCCGCACGGGATAGTCGAGATAGTCGGGACAGACTGTTCACTGGACGAGAACGTGATAGGGTTAGAGACCCTGACACCAGATCGCGGGACTATCACCGTTCAAAGGAACGCGATCATTTTCGAGAGCGGAATAGATCTCGCGACCAATCCCGTGACCGTTCGAGGGAAAAGAGAGATCTTCGTTTTAGTGTATCAAAGGAGCGGGACTACCGAGAGCGCGATCGTGATCGGGATCGATCGCCTGACAGAGATCGAAGAGATCGTGTGAGTATAAAGTATAAAAAGCGTTTCACAAGTCACGAATACACTGAAACGGATATAAACAGCTCTTCGTCCTCAAAAAACCATCAATATTATACTGCCACCTCAGCATCTGTCTTGCCTGCTGGGAGCTATGTCTACAGCAGCCACTACTCCATGACAGACAGTACTCAGTCCTGGTCAGAGCATAAGAGTTGGAATGCTCCGCAGCCTGATTTCCAACCAAAGCCAAAGCCACCCCCACCTCCGCCTCCAGAAGAAGAGGAGAACTGGGACGACCCCCCAGTTCCCCCACAAAAGTTTGAAAAACAAACTGTTTCACTCTTGGAATCAGCGAGCACAAAACCCCAATCACCGAATACGGGGAAGACTGTTGCAGAGCCAAACGTAGAAACAGAAAATGTTGACTTGGACACTCGAATAGCCCTTATATTCAAGGGAAAGACATTCGGAAATGCACCCCCATTTCTTCAGATGGACAGTAGCGACTCTGAAACGGATAAGTCAAAGCCTGAGGGAGCGGTTGAGGCTAATGAAACGCGCTCGCTTTCCGATTCAAATAATTCGGATAACAAGAAAAAGAACGACAAGAAGATATCTGACTTGCAACAATCGCATGGTGCAAGCGATATATCAAGTGATGATGATATAATGGTGAAGAATAAGCGATGCAAACGCGGATTTACACAGTGTGAAAAGGATGATGACAACATGTCTCTGTCGAGTTTGTCTTCTCACGAGGAATCCCAACATGCGTTACCCAATGCAGTTGATCGAGCAAATAAGAAACCTCTATCACCATATATGCATCCCAATACCTCCAACCAGCATCCCTATTATTATCATCCTTCGGACTATGGGCATTATCCCTCTGGCATCCCGGCCAACCCCGTGCTGACAAGTCGCTATTTTTCCAACCCCGCATATATGCAGCCAGCATACTTGTCTGGTGTTGGCTCATTCAACTTGGATCCCTATGCCCAGACATATGGCTACCAGTACCCCCCATCGGACCAAAACGACGAGATAAAGGATAATGTGAAAAAGGTTATTAACTACATTGTGGAGGAGCTAAAGCAGATCCTAAAGCGCGATGTGAACAAGCGAATGATTGAGATAACCGCCTTTAAAAACTTTGAATCTTGGTGGGATGAACACACATTGAAGGCACGCTCCAAACCACTGCCCGACTCAATGGAGGCCACCACCACCTTGAGGCAGAATAGCGCGAACGTGAATTTGATAAGGGAAAATCCTGATAGTGAGAAGCCTCCCAGCATTAATCAACTTGCCAATACTCAAGTGGAAATGTCCGATTTTAAAAGCTTCTCTAGCATAGGTATAAGGGCAGCAATGCCCAAATTGCCATCGTTTCGACGCATTTGCAAGCATCCGAGTCCTATACCCCATCAAAGGATATCCCTCGAAAGAGATCTGAGCGACCAAGAAGAAATGGTACAACGTTCCGACTCCGAGAAAGAGGACTCGAACATGGGCGCTTTTGAGGCACCAGGATCAAATGCGAAGGAACGGGTTTTGGATAGAGAAATTGTGACTATTCGACTGCCGTCACCTGAAATGCATTCAAAACGAAAGGGGAGCGCGTCGAGCTTTTTTTCATCGTCCTCATCCTCTTCTAGCGAAGCAGAAAATGAAGGCAACGACGCTGCTGATGGTACAGAAAAAAGCAGCGAGGAGGATAGCTTTGACGACGATCATCCGCCTAGAAATCTTAATCGAAAGAGCAGACTGATTAAGAAGAACAGGCGTGTGGCATTCAAAGAACCTAGTGATGATAATATTGAGAACATATATTCAGATTCTGAGGACGAGAAAAGAGACATAGATCGAATGCATGTTCAAAAACGGGGTCGAACGAAAAAGAAAAATATCTACTCGGACTCGGATGCAGAAATGGAAAGTACTGCCGGAAGAGATTTTTTGCCTGCGTTGCGAACAAAGATCATATCCACTATACCGTCTGACCTTGAGGACATAAGCAAAGACAGCAGTTTTGGACTGGAGGAAGAGGACGAAAAAGTTGAAGAAGAACTAAAGAATATCCGAAAAATGGTTGATGAATCTCGTCGTTCTCTGACCCCTGTTCCGCCGCCAGACTACAATGAAGAGCCCCTTGAAAAGTTCGATGATACTGATCCCCGAAAGCCAGTTTTTGAATACGATCGCATTTACAGCGACTCGGATGAAGAGCGCGAATATCAGGAAAAGAGACGTAGAAATACCGAGTACATGGCTCAAATAGAGCGTGAGTTTTTGGAAGAGCAGCAGAAGAACAACCAAAACTCTTTCTCAGAAAGTCGTTCAATGTCGGAGCGTAAATTAGAAACTATAAATAAACCTAGTGGGGATATGGCAGAAACTGTGGATGTGGCAGAGGTCCCACTGACCCCAGGCATTAATATTTTAGCTGAACTTGTCGATGAGATAAGTAAACCGATTCCCGAGACGTATATCGAAAATATTGCATGCAAAAACGCTGAACTCGATGGAAAATTAAAGAGTAATCTCAACACCACAGATGTGGTTGAGGCACAAACGATTTTAAACGGAGAAAAGCAATCGTGCTCCAGCATAAACGACAGTAAAAAGGGAACGCAATCACCGCATTCTTCAGATGGAGGCTCCAGCCAAGCATCGCAAGCAAGCCAAGTAGCTCTTGAGCACTGCTACTCCTTGCCGCCACATGCGCAGTCTGCATCCTTCACAGAATCCACCTTGGGTCGGATTGGGTCTGATGCGCGGAATAAGAATAGATTTGAAGGACAAGAAAATGTGGCTGGTGGTAGCCAAATATCGAGGCCTGGCCCAGGCAGACCACGCAAGGATTCAACACGACTGCAAAAGAAAAAGAAGGACTCAGTCCCTCGGCAGTCAAATGCAAAGAATAAAGTCGCTCCCATCACTGACGCGTTGGCCGAACTTGTCCGTCAAACTGCCAACTTTGTTCCCTACGAGATGTACAAAGCTCGCGATCAAAACGAGGAAATGGTTATTTTGTACACTTTTCTAACGAAAGGCATCGACGCGGAAGACATCAAGTTTATTAAGATGAGCTATATTGAGCATTTGCAGAAGGAGCCATATGCGTAAGTTATTTATTTTATTTTATATTATTTCGGTCAGTTTTTGATTGGTTAATCCGCAACTTTTTCTCTTCCCAGCATGTTCTTGAACAACACTCATTGGGTAGATCACTGCACAACGGACCGTGCATTTTGGCCACCGCCGCCAAAGAAGCGCAGAAAAGATGACGAATTGATGCGCCATAAGACGGGATGTGCTCGCACCGAAGGCTACTACAAGTTGGATGTACGGGAAAAGGCAAAGCACAAGTATCACCATGCTAAGGCCAACATTGATGATGCCGAAAACGAAGATCGTTGTGATGAACCCACAGCACTCACGAATCACCACCATAACAAATTAATATCTAAAATGCAAGGTATTTCGCGAGAGGCGCGCTCCAACCAGCGACGACTTTTGACAGCCTTTGGATCTATGGGCGAGTCAGAGCTTTTGAAATTTAACCAGCTCAAGTTCCGAAAGAAACAACTCAAATTTGCTAAATCTGCCATACACGATTGGGGACTATTTGCAATGGAGCCCATAGCAGCTGACGAAATGGTAATTGAATATGTCGGACAAATGATTCGACCTGTCGTGGCCGATTTAAGAGAGACAAAATATGAGGCAATTGGAATTGGGAGCTCTTATCTGTTTCGAATCGACATGGAAACCATTATCGATGCCACCAAATGTGGAAATTTGGCCCGATTTATAAACCATAGCTGCAATGTAAGTATTGCTTGTAATGTTATGAAATTATGAATACTATTTATAATATACGTACATTATTTCTCCAACTTCTAATTGCAGCCGAACTGCTATGCAAAAGTCATTACAATAGAGTCTGAGAAAAAGATAGTCATATATTCAAAGCAACCTATTGGGGTCAATGAGGAAATAACCTACGATTATAAGTTTCCTTTGGAGGATGAAAAAATTCCATGTCTGTGTGGCGCTCAAGGCTGCCGGGGAACGCTCAACTAAAAGATACTTATGTACATCATTTTAGACTTCAAAGGAGGGTTCTATTCACACATGTAAATTAAGTTGATATTCAATATCCGAAATAGATGTATATGTATGTATATATAAACATAACTTATTTGTTTAATCTACCTATACAGTAGAAATTTAGATACAGATTTGAAAGCACTATAACAAATTAATTCTAGCTTGACTTTTAGATGTCGGCTTCGTTTTTATTTATATTTTCATTTTCCTGTGGTGAGTTTTATTTTGCTAAAATGTTACAACATTAAATCAATCTATATTTTATTAAGTCATAGACTAAGAAATATGTACGTTAAGTCCTGCAATGTAAATACATGGCCGAAATGAGCTCGTCATCATTAGTATTCTTACATACTATGTATATGTGACTATGTATACATTTTACAAGCGAAATGCATTCAAGGTGTTATGCTATTATGTGAATTAATTAAACGCATATGCTAAAAAAAGATGATTTTCAAATATTTTTAATCAATTTATTTTCATTGCAAACTGGCCTTAAATGTTATTTGAATAGCAATTTTTTCATTCCAGTCTGAATTCTTTCAAGCAAAAGCTCTTTTTTAAAAAACTTCCTTAAAATCAAGTGCGGCGGTCTCTGGATTTTCCATTTCTCGCCACTTGAGACTTGAGTTTTGAAGTTCAATCGAACCCGGCTTGCTGAACGTACAAATAAATATATTAACAAATGGTAATGGGACAACTAAACTAAAACGTACTTGCTTTACGCCAGCTGCGTCAGCATGTCTGCCATCGTTGCATTTGTTTCTAAAGTTTTTTTGTTTTGTTAGAAAATGTTGTTTGATAAGCAATAGGGATGATAAATATAGATATATCGATATATATGTTGTTGATAGCACTGCTACAAATGAGAAACTTTTAAATGTACTTGTCACGAGACAAAAATTAGGTTGTAGGCCGAGATCACTTCCCTCATACTTAGAGGATACTTAGGAAGCAATATAAATTGGGGTACACTTAATAATAAAACCCGTATGAGACTTTGGTTTTTTTTTTATTTATTAGAAGCTTATTTTGTTAAGAATATAGTCAATAAAAAGTCAATGTCTAAATACCATACAATAAAACAACAAATTTGTTAAATCCCAAAGTTGAAGACACTTTAAGCAAGGTAGAAAACTTAATCTTTGAGTCGCTATATCTTCAGTTGTATCCATTATATTACCAGGTGCTCTAAGTAAAAATTATGAGAGTGCAAACAGTAAACGAATTGCGGTTTTTGAATTTTTAAAATAGGTTTTGGGGTACATATATTGCAAATTTTAAGTATGAGGAAGTTCCGCTCATCTCGGCCTACAACTTAATTTTGTTTCTTGTGAAAAGTACATTATTACTGTCGCACAATCTAATATATTCTTTAACATGGTTGCTTTTGTGGGATATATATCATAAGAAAATATATTTGTCATGTTTTATTGGAATGATTCTAACCTAACAACCCGTAGTTCGAAGAAAAAAATCTAGCCAACACTTAAACCAAGTGAACCAATTGGTTACCGATGTACTGATATCGATGATTATTTTATTTGGCTACATAAAGATTAGCAGTCTGGGTATTCCTAAAACTGATTTGGACTTGCTTTTAAATTAGATAATGCCTTGTACCTGCCTGTGCTTAAAATGCGCGAAAAATTGTGTCAAACGATTCACAATCTTTCACGAGACGGATTTCGTACAGGTGCATGATGTCACATTGCTGTATTTAAACTGACGCAAAAATGTCGAATAATCACGTAAACCAAGCTGTTGAGAAATTAATCGCTTAGTTTTAGGTCAATATTTTTTGTCCGCTGTTCTTATTGCTTATGTCCAAAAACTTAACTGTAACGTTCTGTAACTGTTCTCACACGTATAGCCAAAACGCGCAGCTGCACACAAAGTCATCGATGTGCACCGTCTTGGTATTGGAGTGTCGCATCGCGTGATCTTCTAATTTCCTTATGGGCTCGAATTTATTTGTGGAGTTGAGTCAGTATAAAATTATATTTACGAGTACCCGCACGGGTATTTAGTACCGCCCCGCTCTTGTCGCCCCCGCTTTGTATATAACCCGCTGTGCAAATAACATTTAAACCACTAATATATATGAATAAAATAAAACTACATAAAGATTAATACAGTCCACTCATTCGCAACCATAAGATGTTTTTGGTCCTTCGAGCCGGATCTCCGGCTAATTTTATTTGAAATATATTGAGTGATATTGCTGTTTATCATGAAGACTCACGTACATCGCATAATTCAGCAGCGTGGTGCGTGCAAATCCCAACTAACTCGCGCATCTACGGAGGCTCAGGAGTTTGTAGAGTCGTGCACGTCTGTGCAAACATTGGAACACAAGTTGGACCGATTGGCTGCAACTTTCAACCGCTTTATGGAGCTCTCTGAGGACCTAGTTCAATATAATGAGGAAGACGGATTTGTGGATCCGGATTTGGATATCGCCGAATATGAGGAAAAGTTTTATAGTGCCCATGCCGTTCTCCCTGGAGCCATAAGTGAGCGGATAAGTCACGATAATGGACACGACTCGTCAAATCTATTGCTATCTAGTACTGTGGAACGCCTATTTGAGGGACAAACACAACTTTTGGAGAAGATGCGGGACTCAGCGCAACCCGCTGAGCAGTTCGAGAAAATACGCCTTCCTACATTTTCTGGAAGATACGAAGATTGGTGTCAGTTTAGTGATCTGTTCTTAGGCTCAGTCGACAAGAAGAGTAGTCTTTCCAACTGTCAAAAGTTCCATTATTTAAAGTCGTATCTAGATGGTGAAGCTTTGTCTCTGATTAAACATAAATTTATAATTAAATAATATAAATCCCATTACTGACGATAACTACCAGGACGCATGGGAGAGGCTAAAAAATCGTTATAATAAAAAATCACTTATTGCGCGGTCGTTCATTCAAAACTTTCTTTCGCTGCCAACTGCAAAAGGTTCAAACATAACCATAACATAACAAACATAAACATAAGCTACGTCCAGTGAATCTTGCAAGGAAAATGTGACCATAAATGACCTGTTCGCCTTTCTCTTCGCCTGTCAAGATCTAACAGTAGTTCATGATTCTCTCAAACGTCGTGCAGTTTCTCATCATGTGGACGTGCCAACTACGTCTGTTCGTGGTTGCGTATATTGTCACGGGCCACACAGTCTGTATGTGTGCACTCAATTTAAAGCTATGAACGTTGTGGATCGTCGCACGTTTGCAATGGAGGGTAATTTGTGCTTCAACTGCCTAAGTCGATCTCATCAAGTAAAGGATTGTAATTCCACAAATACGTGCCGTCTGTGCAAGTCGAGGCACCACTCTTGTCCATCCAGAAGAGATCCGCACCACCCCGAGTGTTGCTGCCAATACATCTGCTGACCCAAACTTGCGCTCGCCCTTGCATGCTGCTGAGGCTGACCCTGCCGTGGTCAGCCATCATACATTGGAGAGAGGAGTATTCGCCACGAGTCAAGCTATATTGCCAACAATTTTAGCCTCTATAGTCGACTCCTGGGGCTACGAGACAACCTGCAGGATATTGATGGATACTGGTTCGACGATAACGATGGTCTCCGAGTCGTTTATTCAACGGACAGGGTTGTCGCGCACGCATGCTCGTATACCAGTTGTTGGTCTAGGTGCAAGCCCGGCTGGTGTTACTCGAGGTCGCGCCACGTTCACGCTGCTCTCGCGCACAAGCACAGCATCAGTGGTGGTAACAGGTCTGATTATGAGTTCTTTAACATCCTCGATTCCAGCACAGAGGATTGAGTCGAACACCCCGATGTGAGAAAATATTTGTGATCTACCCTTAGCAGACCCTACATTTGGGACACCAGGCGAAATCGACCTGATTTTAGGAGCTGATCAACTTTGGAACATATACACTGGAGAACGCAAAGAGTTTGCTTTCGCATATCCTATTGCACTTCATACTAATTTTGGTTGGGTCATTACAGGCAGCTCCCATCTCGGTATTGATGATCACACCCACGCACTAGCTCATCACGCTCACGAGGATCTGGATACCTTAGTCCGATCGTTCATGGACATGGACCAAGTTCAACCAAGTAGCGCTACCATTTACGCTACTGATCCCGCTGAACAACACTTCGTTCAAACGCATTCCCGCTGAGACGATGGAGTGTACGTCGTCCAATATCCATTCAAGGATTCCGCTTCGTCGATGGGGTCCACATTGCCACAAGCCTTACGCCGCTTTTCTTCTCTCGAACGGAAATTTCGAAAATTTCGGCACTCAAACAACAATATGTCGACTTTATGGAGGATTACTTACAACGAGGACACATGGAGTTGATTCCTTCTACTACCGTAGCCGAGGATCTCGCCAGTCACAATTATTTAGCACACCACGAAGTATTTAAACCACTACAAGATGCCAAGTTGTGTTCGATGGCTCTGGGGAGGACTGCAAGGGACATTCACTCAATTCACGGCTACACATTGGACCACCTATTCAAAGGGATTTACTTGGAGTCTGTTTACGGTTCCGTCAGCATCGTTATGTGTTCTGTACGGACATTGAGAAAATGTTTAGAGGCATCCTAGTTTCAGAAGAACACACGCAGTACCAACGTATCGTCTGGCGAAAGGAGGAGACTGCTACACTTGATCATTACCGACTACTGACCGTGACTTATGGTTTAGCTTCTTCACCGTTTTTGGCTGTTAGAGTTCTCAAGCAAATCGCTCAAGATTATGCCGAGTTGTAGCCGAATGCTGCTGCGGTGCTGGTAAGGGACGCTTACGTGGATGATATTCCTACAGGCTGCGATAATATCAACGAACTCATTGCACTCAAGGATGAATTGATTTTGTTATTGAGCCGAGCTCAATTTAAACTTCGAAAATGGAGTTCAAACTGTTGGCCACTACTACAATCGCTGCCAAAGGACATTTGTGAGTATCCCCTTGAAGCTCTAGAAGAAGAGAGCCCAGCTCAATATGTGAAAGTTCTTGGAATACGCTGGGACCCGGCTGCTGACAACCTTTCCTTCAAGCTGACCATTACCGACGCCACAGCTGCTCTGACAAAACGGATTTTGCTGTCGGAGCTTGCCAAGATCTACGATCCCCTGGGTTTGCTTGCCCCACCACTGTATTTCTAAAGGTTCTCTTTCAAGATAGTTGGCTGAGCTCGGTCGAATGGAACGAGCCACTACCGCCGCAGTTATGCTCACGTTGGCAACAGTTTGTAGCAGAAGTTAATTTATTGGAAACGTGTCGCATATCTCGCTACATATCCTCACCACTTCAAGCAACGGAGTTGCATGGATTTACCGATGCGTCGTCTCATGCATGCGCCGCTGTTATTTACAGTCGCGTGAAACTCAATAAGGACTATGCTGTCAGAATGATCGCCACAAAAACCCGTGTTGCGGCCACGGCGGCCATTCCGCGGCTCGAATTGAATGCAGCCCATCTTCTTTCAAAATTGATGTCTCTGGTTAAGCAAGCACTAACTATTCCTATTTCCAGTACCTCATGTTGGTCTGACTCAGACGTTGTGCTGCATTGGCTCTCATCACCCCCTCGGACTTGGAAAACTTATGTTTGCAATCGGACTGCTGAGATTCTAGATGCTTGTCCACGTAGTTGCTGGCAACACATTCGCACTGGGGACAATCCCGCGGACTGTGCATCACGCGGACATTTACCGAGGGATCTTGTAGACCATCAACTGTGGTGGAATGGACCACCGTGGCTTTCACAATCACGGCTCACTTGGCCACCTGCTAAGGCAAAGTTTGCACTGTCGACTGAGGAGGCTGCGCACATGGAAGTTAAGGTCAAGCCTCAAGTTAATCTACACATTTCCGAAGAAGGAAATGATCTTCAATGTATGATTAACAAGGCTTCCTCCTGGTCACATCTCTTGCGGACAATAAGCTACTGCTTTCGCTTTGTACACCGTCTTCGCTGCAAGGAACGCCTGTCATCGTTTTTATCATCATGGGAGCTTCAATATGCACGCTCTGGGATAATCAAACACGTTCAGATGGAGTTCTTCCAAGTGGAGTACAAGCAGCTAAGCACTGGACGGCCACTTTCTCAAAAATCCAAACTTATTCGCTACACTCCATTTATTGACGACCAAGGAACAATGCGCGTAGGAGGACGCATTGACAATTCAATGGCAACTTACGATGCAAAACATCCCATACTTCTTCCAAAGGAATCACCAGTCGCTGTTTTATTAGCGAGACACCAGCACGTCACATCGCTACACGCTGGAGTTGAATTTATGTTCCACACGTTGAGACAGAAGTATTGGATTCTCGGTGCCCGCAACATAGTCCGGAAAATCGTATTCGACTGCAAGATTTGTTTCCTCCAGCGCAAAGGTACGAGCACACAACTCATGGCTGATCTTCCCGCTTTTCGGGATCAGCCCACCCGCTGTTTTCTCCATTCTGGATTGGATTACGCTTGACCAGTTACTATCAAGACATCGGTAGGTCGGACACCGAAGTTTGGCAAAGCTTGGTTAGCTATCTTTGTTTGTCTGTCCACCAAAGCAATTCATATCGAACTCGTCAGTGATTTGACGACTCCCGCATTTATCGCAGCCTTCAAACGATTCTGGTCTCGACGTGGCCCTATATCCGATTTATACTCAGACAATGGCACAACATTCCACGGAGCCAGACGGGAACTAAGGGAAATGCAACGGATGGCTGTATCTCAAAGTCAAGACGAGGACATTGCAAGTTTTCTGACGAGTCAGGAAATCAACTGGCACTTCATTCCGCAGTCTGCCCCGCATTTTGGAGGTATTTGGGAGACTGGCGTACGATCAATTAAGCTTCACCTTCGCCGAGTAATTGGTAGCAGAGCATTAACTTTCGAAGAATATTCAACCGTTTTAACCCAGATTGAAGGTCTACTCAACTCTCGCCCACTGTGCGCTCCCAGCGATCACAGCTAGTATCCCCTTACCACCGCTCATTTTCTTACAGGTCAACCTCATATGTCGGTGCCAGAGCCGTCATTCTTGGACGTGAAGATTAACAGACTGCAGCGTTGGAGACAACTGCAAGCCAAGGTTCAAGGGTTCTGGAAACGTTGGAATCTTGAATACCTTTCTTCCTTGCAGTCGCGCCCCAAATGGCAGCAGGAGACCAACAACATAGCAGTGGATATGCTTGTGGTTCTGAAGGAGCCGAATCAACCTCCTAGCAAGTGGCTGCTTGGCCGAATCACCGAAGTTCATCCTGGTCAAGACGAGAGAGTTCGAGTGGTCACCGTAAAAACTGCCCGAGGAGTGTACAAGAGACCTATCACCAAAATTGCTGTGCTTCCCTTTAACTGAACAGTCGTTCAGGGGGGCCGGTATGTTAAGAAATGAATCGCTTAGTTTTAGGTCAATATTCATTCCTATAATAGTTGCCCTAATCATATGCTCGCTATTGTTTTGTCCGCTGTTCTTATTGCTTATGTCCAAAAACTTAACTGTAACGTTCTGTAACTGTTCTCACACGTATAGCCAAAACGCGCAGCTGCACACAAAGTCATCGATGTGCACCGTCTTGGTATTGGAGTGTCGCATCGCGTGATCTTCTAATTCCCTTATGGGCTCGAATTCATTTGTGGAGTTGAGTCAGTAAAAAATTATATTTACGAATACCCGCACGGGTATTTAGTACCGCCCCGCTCTTGTCGCCCCCGCTTTGTATATAACCCGCTGTGCAAATAACATTTTAACCACTAATATATATGAATAAAATAAAACTACATAAAGATTAATACAGTCCACTCATTCGCAACCACAAGCATACAGCTTAAAAAACACCAGTTTGGTCTGCCAAATGGTCGTTCCATTGGGGATTAACCCTCATCCAAATAATTTAACGTTATACATGTTAAGTCATTTTAGTAAATCAATATCCAATCCCCGGCCTGAGTTTTCATTTATTTCATTCATTTGTCCGAGGATGCCACCTAGTTGGATTTGGATTTTCGAAGTTAAGACAGTAGTGCCACCTTTTTGAAGCCGAATTCGGAGGAAGGTTTTTAACATCAATTTTATTGAAAGCCTTCTGTTTTTCCTTAAGCCTTTTTTAATTTCAGCAGAATTTTACAATAGCCTCTGTTTACAAAACACAGCTGATTCATCAACCCTGTTTTAGCTATGTTCCACACCCTCACGGAGTAACTAGCAAATTCATTGCCACAATTTTCCGCGGTGCTGGAGACAGGCCTTTAAGCGTAGTGCTTAGATGCGCTAAATTTTCCGTCCCCAAAATATTGGGGAGCCCAGGATATTCCTGTGGAAGAGCGACCCCAGCCGAAGAAGTGCATTTTATTAACTCTAAACAAAACCAAGCTGCTGTCTGAGCAGTGTAACCGTACGGAATGCAGTGCACACCTCTGGTTACACCACTGGCCTCTAGAAGAATATCAGGGGTGCCACAGAAATCACTAGTGAAATGGGAAACCGCGTAGAGGATTTCCGCTTCAAAATTTCCGCCGTGCCACAGAATTCCGAGCGATTTCATTATTCTTAGCATTGTCACAAACCAAATTCGAACTAAGGCTGGGGTTGACACCTTTCAAGATTTAATTCGAAAAGGGTTTATTTGCAGTTTTATTGATTTTATCATTTCAAAACAATTGGTTTTTAATTTTTTTCCTTTTATGATATAAAATAATTGATTTCTAAGCTGTACTTTTATAATTTCAAAGCAAAAAAAACATCCCATATCGTGCGAGTCAAACAAAACAATGAACTCGGCAACTCTAGCAGTTGTCTGGCATGGCATGGCAGCAATCATCTGATAAAAAAAAATAAAACACACATCTGAATTTTACGGTAACCTTAATTAAAATGCCTTTAACGAGACTGTTGGCCATCAAAGAACTACGGAGGCAACATATTAGAATTCAGACCTTGCAGCGCAGGCTTCTCAGATGCGTATCGGACTCGTTTTCACGTTCAGACGATACGTATGTGGTTTTTGTAATTGTCTTCTCAAAGTACTGCTAATTTAGTTCCTTACAATTATCAAGTTTTGGTATAATGATCGCTATGCTTCTATTTGTGCTGCCATTGGTCTGCGCTTAGCCCAACAGGGGTTTTTGACATAAATGCAATGGCAATAATGTGTAGAAATGGTTTGCTAGTTTTGTTTTGGCATTTTGAAGCGATGCCACCTGGTAGAACTACAAATGACGAAAAATGTTTTCACAATTTGCACATCGTTGTATATCGTCTAATTGTGATGCGCATCTGAGAATCCTTCACTGAAAGGTATCTTTTTACGCGGAATTACTTTCTGCGGATTCCCATTCCGCGCACGATTTCTGGTGCATCTCTGATAATGTATTTTTAGTTTATTTGTAATGCATATTTGGCCATGTGGCAAGATATAACGGCCGGATGGTAATTCGTTGGTGGAAATAGAGAGATCTTCAACTCCCTGGCCTGTGCGGGGCGGTGAAAAAACAGCTAGTTTCTGTATACATAAGTATATAGTAGTAGTAGTATAAGTATATAAGTACAAGGCTGGACAGATCATAAAGTTGATGTCGTAGCTAAACTCATGTATCAATAAGAACTGACGCCGACCGACGATGACCGCGTAGGATTTGCCTTCAACACTTCAGTATATCGACACCGAAACAAGAATACCAGATCTCGTAGCGTAAATGATATGTGCGTGTGCGTGTTTTATTCTGTAGGGGTGAAATACATTGGCTTAGGTCTAACCTCAACTATTTAGTTATTACATACCGCAGTCTTTCCTCCTACTCTCTTGGTCTCGTCAATCGGAATAAACCGAAGCGGGAAACATGGCTTGACTTCTTAACTTTAATGTGACCGCAGGTCACCCAAATACCTAATCTCTTCAAAAATACTAGATGCGAATACTATCGATCGTTAGAGCTAATCCGTTCCGCGACATCCCGACCCCCGTGAAGCAGCTGCATTCACCACATCCAGTACAGCTAACTTGGAGACGGGACGCATCATAAGCTTGGATCGATCGTCGCTGGCCACGCGCACCGCCGCTCGTCGTGGTACTCCGTCCACTCCAACATACACCTCCTCAAAGATGCCTCGCCTCCATTCTCTCCTTAGTATGGCAGGATCGCATACGTACACGAGATCTCCACGACGCATTGGCTCGACGTGCTCGCACCACTTCTCCCTGCGTACAAGCGTTGGTAGGTACTAATGTACCCAGCGTTTCCAGATCCGATCTCTCATCATCCGGGCAATCCGCCACTGTTTCCTTGTGGCGAACTTCTTAGGCGACTGACCATCGTCTCCTGGAAGGTCCGGTACGCCGGCTGCTCCTTTCAGCAGGTCGTTCGGTGTCAATGGGGCTTCCTGATCAACCGTGACTGGCAAGTGTGTGAGCGGACGCGAGTTGACGATGTTTTCCGCCTCAATCAGGAAGCTTGCCAGCACATGCTCCTTAGGCGCCACCTCCTTCACAGTATGCGCCAGCACCTTCTTGACACACTGGACCATTCTCTCCCAGACGCCTCCCTCAGCTGGGTTTGCCGGACAGTTGAAGAATCATTCGACTCCTCTGGACGACAGTTCGCCCTGGATCTTCTCCGGTTCGAAGACTTCGTTGAATTTCCTGGCCTCTCTGTCAGCACCGACGAAGTTCTTTCCGTTGTCGCTTCTCATCCTGACCACAGGTCCACGGCGGCACATGAAGTTCCTCATCGCGATGATGCACGAATCTGTCGACAAATCATGTGCCATTTCCAAGTGGATGGCCCTTGTAGTTAGGCAGGTGAACAGTGCGACCCACCTCTTCTCCGTTCGACGTCCAATCGTCACCATCAGCGGCCCCAAATAGTCCAGGCCGGTATACTTAAATGGCCATCCATTGGCCTCGAGCCGGTCCTCTGGCAAGGGACCCATCATTGGCTGTCTGGGTCGTGCTCTTCGCAGTTTGCAGATGTGGCAATTGGTTACCACCCTCCGTAGTAACGTCCGCAAGTTGGTTATCCAGAACCTCTTCCGGATCTCGCATATGGTCGCATCCAGGTTTTGATGCCGCATCTTATCGTGGTAATGACCGACGATCATCTCTGCCAGTGCGTGTTTGTGCGACAGTATGATCGGGCGCCGCGCACTGAATGGCATGCACGCGGCCGCATCGATCCTTCCACACGCACGTATGACTCCGTCTTCGTCGACGTATGGCGACAGCCCTCGTAATTGGCTGTCCTTTGTGACAGTCTTCCGTTGCGTCTCCTCAGCGAACGCCTCACTTTGCGCCAACCGGATCAGCGTGCGCTCTGCCTCGGCGCACTCAGCCGCAGTTAGCCCGTACTCGTCGCTCTTCTCACGGTGTCCGCGACACCGTCGGATAAACCGGAGGACCCAGGCAGTGGCCCTGACCAATCGGTTGTAGCTTGAGAACCTCTGGAAAGATATAAAGGAGTTTGCTATAACCAGCGCAAACTCACATGGCATCTCTTCTTCATCCGCGGTTCGCGGGTAGCCACCATCACCCGAAGAAGATTTCGGCCACTCGTCCTCAGGTTCCCGTAGAAAGGGAGGCCCACTTAGCCAACGTGATTCTTGATCCAGATCCACGTGGATTTGCGGCCGCGTCGCATCGTCTGCCACGTTTTCGGCAGACGGTATCCATCTCCATTGTGATGCTTCTGTGGACTCCAAGATCTCCGCCACCCGGTTTCCAACGAACTGCTTGTAGCGCCGGTGGGTGCTGCTTATCCAGTGCAGAACCGTTTTGGAGTCGGTCCAGAGTACGCAGCTGCTGATCGATACACCGTGCTCCCTTTTTACGGTGTCCATCAGTCTCGTTCCCAGTACGGCTGCTTGAAGTTCCAGTCGTGGTATCGACATGGTCTTCATCGGGGCACATTTCGTTTTGGAACATACAAAATGTGCCTGCACATTGCCGTCATTATATGTGGCTCTCCAGTAAGCCACCGCAGCGAACGCCGATTGGCTTGAGTCCACGAAGACGTGCAACTGCAGATCCCGCACGCATCCGACGCCAAAGTAGTGGCGCGGACATCGGAATCCTCTCACGTAGTTCATGTCTAGCCGCCAGCTCTCAAACGCTGTGGCCAATTCTGCTGGCAGCGGCTCGTCCCAGTCCACTCCTCTCCGCCAAATCTCTCTCATCAGAACTTTGGCGGTCACCAGGTAGCAGCTCAAGAATCCAATCGGGTCAAAGGTAGACATGACGAGGCTTAGGAACTCCCTTTTGGTGGGGACACGTTCCCCGGTCATCACGCTGCTGGCCACCCGATGGTACTTGACGCTGAATTTGAAGTCATCTGTAGCCGGCTGCCAGAACATGCCCAGTATCTTCTCCTCAGCTTCGGTCCATTCGACATTCATATTGGATCCTTGTGGGTTCAAAGCCTTGACCACACTTTCCGAACTGGAAGAGACCGGCACAAATCGAAACCAGCGTTAGCATGAATTTCTCTTACCCGTGTTGATACAGCGATAGCTTCTTTCTGGTCTGCAAAGCTATCCACGTAGTCGTCCACATAGTGGTACTCATTGATGGCCAGCACCGCGCGGGGATCTGTGTGGAGGTACCCTGAGGCATTTAGGGTCTTGACGTAGTGCGCTGAGCACGGTGAACATGCGGCTCCGAACGTCATCACCTCCATCTCGTACAGGTCTGGATCCCGCCGGTCGTCTCCGTTCCTCCACAGGAATCTCTGGGCACATCTGTCCTGTGGCTGTATCAACACCTGATGAAACATCTCCTTGATGTCTGCGCATACTCCCACTGCTCCTTCCCGAAAGTGGAAGAGCACGGCTGGGAGCGATTTGTACTGCTGTGGACCTTTAAGCAGAGCTGAATTCAGGGACACTGCACCAACCTTGGCGGCCGCATCAAACACCAGACGAATCTTCCCGGGCTTGTTTGGGTTCTCGACCCCGAAGTGCGGCAGGTACCAGACCTTGTCACTGTTGACTGAAGTGACTTCCTGCTGCTCTAGCCGTCGTGCGTATCCCTTCTTGACGCAGTCATCCATGATTCCATTGTAAGCCTGCGCGAAGTTCGCATCACGCCGCATTTTCCTCTCGATGTTGACCAGTCTCTTGAGTGCCATGTTGTAGCTGTTTGGCAAACTCGTGTCGTCCTCCTTCCATAGCAGACCAGTTTGGAATCGTTGGCCCGTTCGTTTGGTCGTCTCCTGGAGAATCTTCAGAGCCCGTGCATCACCGCTAGCTGCGACGGGCGGCGCTGGCTTCACCCCGAAATTCTCTATTTCGAAGTAGTCGCTGACCATCTTCTCCAGAAAACTATCCTGTGGGAATGCTATGAGACACGATTTCGAGTTTGGTGAACTTGACGTTTCACCGGACCAAACACCACCCATCCGAGCTTGGTGGCAGCTGCATATGGTCCTCCTGCTCCATAGCTCCTACTTTGCATAGGTATTCCCAAGTGCGCATGATCCAATCCAATCAGGATCTTCGGCACTGCGTTACAGTAAGGCTTGATCGGCAAACGTGCACTGGTCCTCGTCGTTTTGACATCTTCTCGACGCAGGCTTTGCATCGGTAGATTCAAATCCGAGACCGCGTACACATTCCTTAGCCCATGGCGTTTCGGCTTCCCAGTTCCGCTAATCTGCAAGCTCACCATCTTCGCGTTCTCGCTCGAGGACTTCTCGCCAAACCATTGAATGTTCAGCTGTCGACTCTTGCCCTTCAGGTCTAGGCTATGCGCGAGCTCGTCATCCATCATTGTTACGGACGAGCCTTCGTCGAACAGGGCGTAGGTGTCCACTTGCTTGTTTTCCCCGTACAGAGTCACGGGCAAGATGCGGAAGAGTAGAGGACCTCCATCCGAATCGACGCAGCTTAGGTTCCGGTGTGCGACTTCAGGGACGTCCTTTGGCACCTGCCTTTCGTCTAGGGACCTCCTCGGGGTCGGATCTGATGGCTGCGATGTTTGTGGGTCATCCCTCCGTTGATCACCGCCGTTATACAGTGATCGCTTGCGATTACCTTGTTGGTCCCTCCGTGGTCCACTGTATGACTGTAGTGGCCGTCTGGGATTGTCCAATCCGTCGTGCAGTAGGTAATGATGCCTTCTCTGGCATCCGTAGACAGTGCATTTCTTGTCCCTTTTGCAGAACCTGACCATATGTCCACTTTCCAGGCACGAGAAACAGACCCGATGCTCCCTCACCAACTCAACTCGGGATGTTGGAGAAGCATGGATGAAATCCTTGCAGTCTTGGATCGTGTGCTGCCCTTCACATATTGGGCAACCCTTTGTGCGGTCGCTGTGCCGTTGCTGATCCATGTGACTTGTGCTAGCATGCAGTACCCGCCGTTTGGGATCCTTGCTCCCGGCATCCGTGATCGTTCACACCAGTTTAGCGAGATCATTCAGCCACTCGCTCAAGTGCAAGACCGTTGGGTACGATCCTATTGCTGCAGCATGCCTAGCCCAGTCCAACCTTTTGCTCAGGGGCAACTTAGCAATCAACTCCTCCATCAGGGTAGCATTACTCAAGTGCTGGACTCCGTCCGTGGTTGACCGTAGGAACGCTGCGAGATTGCTGACTCGTGTAGCAAATGGCACAAGCTTGCTTAGATTGTGCTCCTGAATTGCTTGTACATCTCGCACGCTCTCCAGCTGGCTACGTATCAGTTGCTCCGGACGTCCATATCGAAATTTCAGCTGCTCCATCACAGCTGCAACGTTGTTCGGGTGTATGAGCAGCGATTTAACTGACTCTCGCGCTTCACCCTTCAGAGCCTTCACTAGCCTTTGGTTGTTCTCCAGCGCTGTACAGTGATACGCTGCCGTTGTCTCCATGAACGCGCATTGGAATATAGGCCATTCCTCTGGCTGACCTTCAAACTCAGGAAGATCAGGCAATCGACGCGGCGTCCATCCATTTGACAAGGTAGGCGATGCTGCTCCATACGACCCAATCGAATTTGTGGGCATCATAAAGTTGTGCTGTGGCTCCCGTAGTGTCTGCACGTAACTTTGTTCTGGCAGCACCGTGGCCGTAACACAATATGGCGTGGAGTAGCTCATCGTTGTACAGTTTGCGCTCGGTGTGACTTGTCGCCCTATTGCCAAATTTCCACTCAATTGTGGCGGCAAACTTCCACTCAATTGGAACGGCAACTGTGCATCTAAAGATGGCGTCACTCTTTCGGATAAATCTGGCATCAGATTCTCACTCGAACATTGCGGTAGATTTGCACTCAGTATCTGCCGCTCTTCACTCAAACATGGCGGTGTATTCGCCGCACCGCTCACTCCAGAACCGCTAACTCCGTTTCCAACGGGTTTCCTTGCGGCTGCCTCTTGCCCTTTACTTGCCCTTGCCTTTTCCAGCTCCTTCTCCAAGATGGCGATCCTCTGCGTCAGTGCAGCAACTTGGACGTTGGTGGGATTTGTGCTCTGGCCTGATCCGTCAGGCTGTACAGCACCACTCGGATTCCTTCCTTGTGTCCCACTCTCCTTAGGAGTCTGTGGCCGCTGCTTCGATCCACCAGCCGTACTCACGATGGCGATCGGGCTGTCAGTTGATGCGGCTGTGGTCGTCGTAGCTGCGGTAGCCCCGCTCTTTCCAATTCGAGGGCTCCGCCGGGGCGAGTGTGTGGTCGACATGCTAATGTGCGATCCCAAGAAGCACGCAAATAAAGGAGTGCGATGGAAGTGCGAATAAAAGAAATGACGCCGACCGACGATGACCGCGTAGGATTTGCCTTCAACCGCGTTAACAAAATGGCCCCGTACTCAATTGTCCTTGTGCGCGCTCCCCCTCAAACAAAACAAATTTTCCGCCGCCCCACCCCGTTCAGACACACCTTAGGGCCCCCAAGAAAATGCTTTTCTTCAACACTTCAGTATATCGACACCGAAACAAGAATACCAGATCTCGTAGCGTAAATGATATGTGCGTGTGCGTGTTTTATTCTGTAGGGGTGAAATACATTGGCTTACGTCTAATCTCAACTATTTAGTTATTACATACCGCAGTCTTTCCTCCTACTCTCTTGGTCTCGTCAATCGGAATAAACCGAAGCGGGAAACATGGCTTGACTTCTTAACTTTAATGTGACCGCAGGTCACCCAAATACCTAATCTCTTCAAAAATACTAGATGCGAATACTATCGATCGTTAGAGCTAATCCGTTCCGCGACAAGAACCAAACCATTTTTTGTTATAGCCTTTTTACACTGGGCGCGTCTGCTATCGATATCGGCATAGACGCAATGAAGCAGAAAAGGCGTTTACTTTGGAAGACGTGCGTCTTGAATTTGGATTTGGGTGTTTGATGACAAGGAAAGATACACAAATTTTTGAAAATCAACAGAATTAAGCAAGACGTCAGGAAAATGGACGAAAAAGAATTGATTCTCATATTTAAATATTATTTTCAGACATTTCATTGTAGAGTTTGTGGGAGTTCTTCTTCAAATTATGAAAACCACCGAAGTTCGTCTCCAGAAGTGTCTTAATGGCATCAGGGGGTCAGAAAAATTTCATATGATAATAATACAATCAGTTTCAAGTATTTTATTTAATGACTTTATGTATATTTTCACCTTTTTGCACAATCATACATTTTTAGCGCCAAAATTTGATTTTTGATCTACAATTTTTTGTTGTTATTAGTGGTGATAGTTGCGCTGATAGGCAGAAAATACCAAAAATGAGCAAAATCAATCGAATATACCGAATAGACGCACATGAATCAGACACTGACTTTTTGCCACCACTAGGGCCCTATGCTTAACCTATGTAAAAAAAACTGCGTCTTCGCCAAGACGCAAAGAAGCATGACGCAGCCCCAGTGTAAACGGCCTATTATCCTATTTCATCGATGTTTATTTTGAAAACATCGAAAAAAATCGATGTCCACGAACATCAATGTTTCTCCACCTCTACTGCAAGAACAGCTGTTGCACAGCTCAGGAATATATACTTTACAATTTGTCCTGGAGTGAATGGTGCAAGATGTAGGCAAAAACTGTGCGCAAAACCAAAAAGAGAGATGCAAATTATTCTTTTTTGTTTTGCAAAAATATAAGCCGCCTCCAACACAATCACTTCATCATCAAAGTGTTTACAAAACACAGCTTATTCATCAACCCTGTTTTAGCTATGTTACACACCCTCACGGAATAACTAGCAAATTCCTGGCAGGAATTTTCCGCGGTGCTGGAGACAGGCCTTATCTATGTATCTGTATGAAATATGCATGCTAATCCAAGATATTTTGGCTTTTTGGGGAGTGGAATATTTTTCCAAGTAGGAATAAGCTTTGAACCAAACCGACTTTGTCTGATAGATTTGGGCCTTTACAAGCTTTTAGTGAATAATGTTTTTTTTTCTATGGAAATAATTTCTTTTTTTCATTTAAGCTATTTTTTTCACATAAATGTAGTATCTTGAGTATCATGTGGTTGCTGATAAATGCAGATATTAATTAAACCCAAACACTTTATAGCTACATTTTACCGTCTGGTAAATATGAAACTTTCAAATTCATAGTTGATCTTTTTTTTTTTGCGGTATTTCTTCTTCAAAATTTTGATTTTTAAAATTTGGAGTAAAAAAAATTTGTTTTTGTTGTAGTGTTGTTGTATGTGTTGGTGTATTAGCTAGGTGTCGCAAAGTGGGCCTTCGAATATTTCAGCTTGCTAGAGTAAAAACTTCTGAACCAATCAAGATATCTTCATAAAATATACTTCATTTGAAACGAAAATATTAAGCTTTCAAATTCTAATTTCATAATTTTTTTGCGGTTTTTTCGCCCGAAATTTTGACTTTAAAAACTCAGGAAAAGTCGAAAGAAAAAAATGATTGGCATGTATTTTTAGTTTAAGACAGACGCATTAATTAGTCGTCGTTCAAGGTGCTGTTCATTAAAACCTATGCAGAGGCAGTAGAGCTAAATTCGTTAACCAAACCCAAAACATGAAAAAACAGACAAATGGAAGGTTGCGGGCCGAACTGCCAATTGGGAAAAAAGCAAAAGAAAAGGGGATTTCAATGAAACCATAGTAGAAATACCTAAGATATAGAATGTAATTCCGTAACCAATACAACAATCAGTAATTTTTTAGTCTTTTCATTTTTTATTTGGTGTTATGTTGCTACAAGTTTTTAAACGTATCACATACGTAATAAATTTGGTTTTCTACTGCTTGTTACTGTTCTTAAAATAATTCAAGTTTTCTGGCTGTCTTCCTTTGTCTTTCGAATCAGATTCCCTTATCAGAGTCCACACATAGTCGCCCAACATATTCTCATTCCAAACACCTTGATACCGTCGTTCCATAGCTTTTAATTGTTGGTGAAATCTCTCCCCGTGTTCATCACTAGCGTCCCCTAGGTTTTGTCGGAAAAAAGTCTAAGTGGGAGTGCAGGAAATGGATTTTTAGTGCCATGTTGGCTCCAATTTTTTCGTAATTCTCAATTAGGTCTTGAACAATATTAACGTAATCATCACTCCTGCTGTTACCAAGAAATTTTATAACCAGTCGGAATGAGTTCCAGGCTGTTTTTTCATTCGTAGATAAAATATTTTCAAATCGATCATATTTTAGTAGTTTTCGAATTTGGGGGCCATCAACTACGCCTTCTTTAACTTTTGCCAGCAACAGACATGGAAATACAGTTTTTAGGTAACTCATCGATTCACCTTTCTTATCCAGTGCTTTAACAAAATGTTTCATTAGTCCCAGCTTAAGGCCTGTCTCCAGCACCGCGGAAAATTGCGGCAAGGAATTTGCTAGTTATTCCGTGAGGGTGTGGAACATAGCTAAAACAGGGTTGATGAATCAGCTGTATTTTGTAAACAGAGGCAACTGTAAAATTCTGCTAAAATTAAAAAAGGAAAAAAATGCACTCTGATGATGAAGTGATTGTGTTGGTGGCGGCATATATTGTTGCAAAACAAAAAAGAATAATTTGCATCTCTCTTTTTGGTTTTGCAGACAGTTATGCCTACATCTTGCACCATTCACTTCAGGAAGAATTGTTATGTATATATTCTTGAGCTGGGTATCAGCTGTTCTCTCAGTCCACACACGGTCCCGATAGGCAACTATCGATATAAATCTGTGGATTCCGCTCGTGTTGCTGGATACACACTCCAGGAATACGTAAAAGAAACATTCCTGTCACAGTTTTTTTTATATGGAGTTTGACAGGAATTTTTCGATTCCGCGTCGCTGGATACTATGCTTTAATGTGTAATGGTGGTAAAATAACGTCTTCCAAATTCACGAGAGCTGCATTTTGGATGTTGTAATTTTCCACTGTATTTTCCCCCCGTTTTGGCCAGAGTTTTCTTGAGTAATGCTCACTTTTAGGTCTACTATCCCATAGGCACAGGAAGCAGCAGTATTTTGTGTATCGCTCAAAAAAATCTATAGATAAACGGCTGATCTGAAATTGTTTGGACTGAACCCTAAGCAGTTTATCCAAGGAATAGTTCATCCGGGAGGAACCATCCTGTAAAGTTTCAAGTCGAGCTAATAGCGACAGCTACATCTTCCCTTATCAAGTCATACGTAAAAATTACACCAAACATTTGCATCCAATTTATGGCCTACTGAGGGACCATAAACCAGAGCAATATTTTAAAATCTCAGATTCGGCGACTGGGAAACGGGAGGACGGTTACATAACCATCGGTTGCGTCAGTAGATATTGTAGCTTAAACATTTTCTATTGGTTAGCAAGACCATAACCAGACCTAGCGTACTCAATGCTTATCTAATGTCTTATTACACCACTGAAGGCAAGGCTCTTGTGTCGATTGAGAGCAAACAGATTCGCATTACTGTAGAATCCTACATTATGGCACATATGTGAATGCGGATCACTGGGAAAGAGAGCTGAGAAAGTTAGTGGCATATCCAATTGGAAATAGTTTATACACATTTTATACTACTACTACGAGTATACTATACCATAGATTCCTTATATGCTATTTACTACCCTAACTGTAGAAAACTTTAGGGAGTAACATAATATGAAATTAGAACTCAAGAAAGAACATTTACCTGTCTATAAATTATTTTTAGCATCTGATTAAAGCAAATGACTAGACGGTAATGTTTATGTTAATACCCTCATAAAAAGTATTATAAGAAAGAGGAAAATATAAACAGATACACTGACTAGACTGGACGTAGTAACACCAGCTCCTGTTCAAATAAAGAAAACACAAAAAGAGTGTCCAACAGGGGAAAACAGTATTGCAGTATTTGAACTAAAATTTATTTCCGTTGCTAGCCTTTCAGACGATTTTTAAAATGCAAAAATGCTGCCTTCTCTGTAGTGGTGTATTTTTAATGAAAAATCATGATAAGCCGTTCTGGCCTGTGCGCTGGTCGATTTGGGGCATGTTGGAAAATTGTCGTTTCGTGCCATGTTGCTCAGTGCCCTGCCCGCGCACATCTCTAGTCTGTACCTTACCTACATATGTAACAAAAATAAAAGCCCTCCCCATGGCTGCATATTGGTTTATATCATCACTTGCGTTCCCAACCATGACCAGTCCCAATGTGTCAGGCACAATTCGTCTTGAAACTCCTACGAAGTTCAGGCCAACGACAAAGCCACACTCCGCACACTGCTCATCAGTTGCGTGCACAATTTCTCCAAACCAGTTTTTTTTTTAATGATAACAAGTTTGCGGAGAGGTCGAATGTAATGGTAATTTCTGAAAAGCAAAGACTCAGTTTTACCAATATTGGTAGTCAAGATCCGATATTATTATTATTACATAGTATACAATATCTACAAATCTATATCTATCTATACAAATCTATTACTCTACATTATTTTATTGTTAAGATTTTACCCGTTTCGTTGAAAGTGTCCGCTTAAATTAAGTCGATTTTGGTACCTGTATCCAACTGGTATTAAGTATACAATGTTGTCGGATAAGAAGAAGACTTCATTTATACGTCTTCGTATCTTTGCTTCGCTGCAAACGAAGAGCCGAAAAAGACAGCGGTGAGAAACTTATTTCAGTATTAAGTTGGTAACGGGAAAGTAAACCGCTGTGTTTTTTGTCAAGCGAGTGAAAGACTAGTGAAACGTTTTTTGCGATCTGAGCCGAGATTCAATCAAGAATAAGAGAAAATCTCGTTTAAATACTAATATTTTATCGTAACTTTTCCTCATTCAATTTGAAACATAAAGTACGAGTATGTTTGTATTAAAATTAGATACATAATACTCTTTCGGTTGTGGATCAAGTGTGAAACAGACATCCACACAGTTTTTTGATTGTGATGCATGGGTGAAAGTAAAAATGGAAAGAGAATTCATTTTAGTTGGTTTTTATTTGGTTGCCAGATCTGGTTTAAAATTATCATATACACAAAGAAAGAAACAAGTTCTGATGAGTTGAATTTTTGTTGCCAAAAAAACGAAATGAAATTCTTAGTGGCAAAACTCGTATCTCTTTGTACAAAAATAAATGTGCAAACTTTCGTCATACCCACACGCACATTAAGTTTGTGTTAAAATGTTTGCACGCCCAAATTGATAAAGAGATGTGATACGAAGGGCTTTAGAGAAACCAGACACCGCATTGGGCGGATTATATATAGCGTTTACATATTTACCGATTTGCCTGTATCGATTTTCCGTATCGTGCCGTATTATTATGAGCGGGATATTATTTGTTTTTGAATTTGTTTTGTGAATATGGACAATAAAAAAAGACGTGATTTCGCGCATGTTTAAAATGGTGTGGAGTCGATGGCAATACTTTAACACTTCCGACTGTTTCTTAATCCCAAAAAAACCAGTTCTTATATTCTTTCGGGAGGGGAACTGATATTGTTGTTAAGGTGTAATAGCGGAAATTTTTATAATTTCGACCAGGTGATTGCACTGCTCAGAGGAAATCATATCCGAATTATGAAGTGCATACATATGAAAGAACATTCATATAGTATATTTATCGTATGGAGCATTAACATCGCTTCGTCCAGGTTACTCACTCATAAAGATAGTCTATCAATACTTACAAAACTCAGAACACATTAATGTTTCATGCAAAGTTGTACTCGTAGAGTAATCTTTGAGCTACTGACGTCTGAGAACGAAATAGTTATTTTCAAAATTGAGTTGTATATGTCGTGATTAACGAAAATCTGCAATAAAATAAAAAACCTGGTATGCAACGAACTTCAATGCCCTGATAGATCGAGCGTCCCAATATCAGTTATCAGTTATGGCTTAATTTTTGTTGTTTCCTGACGTTATTCTGATTGAAATATTATTTTTCAATGCATATTTATACTTTTACAGCAAATGCCACGACCTGCTCGGCCTAAACTGTGGGCTTTACTACTTTATGCTCCTTTTTTTCTTATTCGTTCCTGCGACGGTCACGGAAGGCTGATTGAACCGCCAAGCAGGGCATCGGCGTGGCGCTATGGATTCCAAACGCCGCCAGACTACAATGACCATGAACTTTATTGCGGCGGGTTTACACGACAATGGAAGCGAAATGGCGGAAAGTGCGGTGAATGTGGAGATGCGTGGGACATGCCAGAGCCACGGCCTCATGAAAACGGTGGTCAGTGGGGGCAAGGCGTGATTGTACGAAGTTATTTGCCAGCATCCGAGATGACAATTCGGGTGGAATTAACTGCCAGCCACATGGGGTACGATAGACGTGGATTACTTTTACAACTATGCAACATCATAAATATTTTATTTCTTGTCTAGGTATTTTGAGTTTCGGTTATGTGATGATCCGGGTGCTAAGCAGACATGCCTAGATAAAAATATCCTTCATATACTTGGTGGATCTCCCGCGCAGCCAAGTCAAGCAGACATGGACACCCGCTTCTATCCTCGAAATGGAAGTCGCATATACGAAATCAAAGCGCGCTTACCTGGTGAGTTTCTTATGTACAAATTCGTCGTACAATAATGAAAAACATCTGTTGTGCCCACATTCTGGGTTTTCACAGAATTGACATGTAATCAATGCGTTCTGCAGTGGCGCTACGTTGCTGGGAATAATTGGGGCATGTGCAACGATGGCAATGGTGCAGTTGGTTGCGGTCCCCAGGAGGAATTTCGTTCGTGTTCAGATATCGCTATAACCCTGGATGCACGACCTCCTATGCGGCCTATTCGACCAGTACACCCAACACCTACACGATCTAGCACGAAGCGACCGACGACTGATGAATATGATTCAGAAGAAACTGCATTTAATTATTCCCTTTTATTAGTGCTAGTAGTTACTCTGGGCGTAGTAGCTTGTGCCTTTGCCATTTGGTACTTTTATAGACGAAACATTTGTAATTTCAAGGAGTGTAGGAACTCTTTTTCGCAGAACTTTAGAAATAATACCAAAAATAACGCGTCTTTGGAAAACGCTGTCCACAACAGAATCTTCAAACCTCTTGAATCGCTTGGTTTTGGGGCTAAGGTTGCCAACAGTTCCAAAGGTGTAGATGTGGACAATCCTCCCGTTCCCCCTCCCCGGACCAAACGAGACGGAAGGATACGGGAATTGTCAGCCAATGCTTCAAGCGTAGCCTAGACCCCCTAGGAATTTCCCTTAATTGAGCAAGTAATTGGTTTCCCAACCCCTTTACCACCACCTTTTTATGTTCAATCACTAGCTCAAGACAAGATCTAATATCTAGTATTTATTATCCTAAGATTTTCCTTTAGACTGCTTTAGAATGCTTTTAAATAGAACTAAGCAGACAATGGTCCCCTCTCATTATTATTTACAATCATATGTGCATATGTATGCACATACATACACATGTACATATATACATATATGCATGACATTACGCAATGCAAATAATCGTATAACAATACGTATGTTATTTATACTTGTATTCTGCATTCTGTTTATTCTTTTCGTTATACACATTCTACCAATGACTGCCGTAGTTAGCATCTTGCATAAAGCGATAGCTGTGCCTGCTAAAATAAATACATATATGTATACAGACTTGTAAATTATAGATATATGTATACATATGTATATGTTTACATACATATACGTACATACATTTACACTTTGCAACAATTTTCACTGCCAGAAATACATAATTACATCAAAAGAGTGTTTAGTGTAAATTATGTATATGCTTTGGACATACGATTATGTGATAGAAATAAGTAAAGAAATGCTTCATACATACGTATATAAATAAATGCGAGTATGTATATACAACGTATATATACATACATATGTACCTACATAAGTATATTGAAAATAATGTCCCGTCTTTATACTCTTCAGGCATCTCCGCAACATCATAAGCTACATATGTATGTATGTACTTGATACACAATAAGTCGGTTCCAGTTAGCCCCCCACCCACACCCCACTCTTTCTGTTTGTTCCTCTTGGATTCGTTGCACCTCTACGGGAATCAACTATACATGTCTATATTTATACATATGTACAATGTACATATACTCACGTATGAGTTCTTGTCGGTTGATGTGTTCTTTATCTTTATCAAATCTGCCATTAATGATCCATTACGTCGAATTAATCCAATGAAACACTATCACTTGATTGCTTTTGTCACAGACTTGTAAATATGTATTTAGATGTACATATGTACATATTAGGCTGGGCCAAACATTTTTTTTTTCGAAATTCAAACGGGACACTTCCTTGTTTTGTTACCTTGGATTTAATAGTAATTTACATGTTTTTATTTTTTTATTTTGTAGAGGTTGCTACCGAACTTAAAAAAAAATTTTAATCAAGAAAATTAAAAAAAAAATTATTGCTGAATGAGTTGGATAATTGGTGAAATCTATTGCATATATATTGATACCACTCATATCGTCATTAATCAGTTATTGGCAGTAAAAAACCTGCACAAGTTTTTACGAACTAGTTAACTAAATATATATATATCAACCTCAGCTGAACTTCTTGATTTTCACCAATCGTTAATTTTTTAACAGTAACTTAAAAAATAAAAATACCTTATTATCAATATGAAATAGTTTCTAAGTTTCAATATTATTTGAAAAAACCGACGAATTCAATTTTTATACCCGTACTCAAAAAAGAGTTAAGGGGTATATTAGATTTGTGGTAAAAGTGGATGTGTGTAACGCAGAGAAGGAAAATTTTCCGACCCCATAAAGTATATATATTCTTGATCAGCATCAATAGCCGAGTCGATATAGCCATGTCTGTCTGTCTGTCCGTCCGTCCGTCCGTCCGTCCGTCCGTCTGTCCGTCTGTCCGTCTCGATGAGCGCCTGGATCTCAGAGACTATAAGAGCTAGAGAAACCAAATTTGGTTTCCAGACTTATGTGATATCACACTGCTACAAGTGTATTTCAGAATTTCGCCCCGCCCCCTTCCGCCCCCACAAAGGACGAAAATCTGTGACAGGCACAATTTTAAAGATACGATAAAACTAAAAACGCAGTATCGTAGAAAATGCCCATATCTACCAGATTGCCTAATCTGAATCAGATCGGATCATAAATATAGCCAGAATGAAGAAATTTTCTGTTGGTTCCCTCTCCTTCTCCAGCGCTGCTGACGCTACTGCTTCTCTTTCTCGCTCGCACACTCTGCCGCGTTCAGTGCGCGAGCAACCCCTAGCGGACGAGATGTAGAATCTAAATGGTACATCTTTAATCTACATGTTAGATGTGAAATATACATTGTAGATGTAGATAGCAGATATAGCAAAAAAATGTAAGATGTAAATTTTTTTTTTTAATTCTAAAATTCTTAAAAATCTTATGCTCAAAAATGTATATACTGACTGAGTACGGGTATAAGTAGAGTCGCGTCCCCAGAAGCGACTCACGTTCCTTCTCGTTTTTAATGTATATTTACCCAAAAGTTTGTATTTTCCTTTTCGTGGTAGCAACCCACAAACATTAAACTAAAAATTTGAAAAACTTGTATTAAATAACAAAGAACAGAATTGGGGGGTGTCCACTTGAAAAAAAAAAAATTTTGTTGGCCAAATTTTGGCCCAGCCTAATACATATGCATGCATATGGTATGTATGTATGTATTTACAATGTATATACATGCTGACACAAACATATACAGATATATTATCAAGCAAGTTCAATCAACGGCCTATTGATTCGCATTTAGCAGTTCATTAAAATTAAGCAATACGCTTTGAAGTTCATTAACATTGCCATTGGATGTATTGTATTACAATGTACTTACAATCTATTTCCAGTTGAGTGCATTGTTCGTCTGCTAAATAATCCAATGGCAACGACTGCATAATTTAATTCGCTCTTAACTACTTTCACTTTGCTTTGTATAACTCAAGAATGAAAAATCTATATTTTGTATTGTGAAATTATATATGTAGTTAAAAACTACCACATATTAAAAATGTATCCAGTTTTGTTTCTTGAATATCACTCAAACGATTTATAGTCAGACTTGTACATGTATAGGTAGTAATACAAATAGTGATAACAGCACCTTTGAATCAGCCTTTAGAGAGTTAGATGGTCCATTTACGATATAAATCGATTTAACAATACGATGTACTAAGAATTGGCGTAGGCATGATTTGTTAATTAGTCGTTCCTGAAATTTAAATTAACCAGCCCTTGCAATCCCGGTACAAGAGAAAATGAACTGCCTACTTATACATTTCATTGACTTTAATTACTTTGGTGTGTTTGTGGTCAAATTATTTACCATTTATTTCTTTTGGAATTTGTAATGGGAACGACTTTATGGCGAGTACGTATAAAAGCGGCATGGGGGAATATCGTGTGCCTAGTTGCAATTTGTTTCGCAATCCGAGAATACCTTCTTGTTATATTACTATTCTGACGGAAGCTAAAAATAATATATTCCCTAATTCGTAATTGAGAAAAGTGAACGAATTTTTGAGAAAATAATACTGAAAAAAGTGAAGGCCAACAAAAATATGTCTACTGAAAGAAATGAGAAGAAATATTCCAGAATCCGTCCTGATTCAGACGGCGATGATATAGTGATCTCCGGAATGGCTGGAAAATTTCCAAACTGTCGTAACATATCGGAATATGAATACAAGCTTTATAACAAGGTTGGCACCCATATTAAATAACTAATTAATCATGAATTAAAAATGCAAAAAAAGTGACTAAAAATATGAAAATATATGCTATAACTTTAATATGGATTCTCTTCTTTATATGTATATCGGAAAGATCTTCATTTCTTTGCATGAAAAATATGGGTTACATTGTGCACATGTGAAAATATATTCAAATAAGTGGAAATATTAAAAACACAAGAAAAAACCACGAGATAACATTGATTTCGAATTGATTTTATCAAAGTATTTGACTTAAGAAATTTTCAGTTTTTTGACACCTATTTTATTATGATTATATTGTATTTTTCACACATCATAAAACTCGACCACTTTCCTTTGGCGCTTCATCAGAGTATAGGAAGTCCTTAAGACGGAGTGCCGACTGCTCCGTTCTTAAGATTCATAAGATTCAAGACTAAATCTATGAATCGATTCCCGGCAGTTCTAAATCAGGATAGGAAAAGAAAACTTTCATTGTACATACATATATATTCGCATTCTCATGGTATGGATTAATTCTACATTCTAGATTGATATGGTGGACGACGATGAGCGTCGTTGGCGTCACTTTAATCCAGAAATACCAAAGCGCTCAGGAAAAATTACTGACATCGAAAAGTTTGATGCTACTTTCTTTGGAGTGCACTTTAAGCAGGCACATACAATGGACCCCCAAACTCGTATCCTTATCGAAGCCGCTTACGAAGCTGTCATAGATTCAGGCATAAACCCCAAGAGTCTTCGTGGCTCGAAAACAGGAGTATACGTTGGATCCTGTATATCGGAATCGGAGAAAACATGGTTTTACGAAAAGGTTTCATCTGGCGGCTTTGGAATTACTGGCTGTAGTCGGGCCATGATGGCTAATAGGATTTCGTACTCCCTAGGGTTGGAGGGCCCTTCATTTTTACTAGATACAGCTTGTTCCAGTTCCATGTATGCCTTAGACAACGCTTTTAGCGCCCTTCGAAACGGAGAAATTGATGCCGCCATCATAGGCGGATCAAACTTACTTCTTCATCCTTTTGTAACCCTTCAGTTTGCGAGGTGAGTAAGAGATTTTGCCTGGATCCAATGTGGATAACAGTGTGATATTTCAGACTCGGTGTTCTGGCCCCAGACGGCTTTTGCCGTCCTTTCGATAAAGATGCTAGCGGTTACACACGATCAGAAACGATTAACTGCCTTTTTCTGCAACGGAAACGAGATGCTAAACGCGTTTATGCAAGTGTTATTTATTCAAAAACGAACTGTGATGGATACAAACCAGAGGGTATTACCTATCCGTCGGGAAAAATGCAGGAAAAATTGCTCGCCGAATTTTACAAGGAGATTGACGTTACACCAAATGACTTGGGCTATTTGGAGGCTCACAGTACAGGCACTGTTGTGGGAGATCCAGAGGAGTGCAAAGCGATTGACAATGTTCTCTGTTGCCAGAGACAAGAGCCTTTATTGGTGGGATCCGTAAAATCAAATGTTGGGCATTCGGAAGCAGCTTCAGGTATCTGCTCGTTGGTAAAAGCCTGTTTAGCTTTCGAAACTGGTTTCATAGCACCAAACATAAACTTTACAGAGGTTAAATCTGTAATTGCACCCTTGGCCGAGGGGCGATTGATTGTTGTTAAAGACGTCACCCCACTACCAAAGCCATGTATCGGCGTAAACTCCTTTGGATTTGGAGGGGCCAATGCTCACGCTCTTTTACAAGCTTATCCAAAGTCGAAGACCAATTTCGGCCTGCCAGACGATGATATACCACGAATTCTCACCTGGGCAGGAAGAACAGAAGAGGCCGTCAACGAGATTTTTAACGCTGTGGAGAAAAAACCGCTGGATGCGGAATTTATTGGATTACTTCAAAACATTCAAGAGAGCGACGTGTCGGGCATGGTCTTCCGTGGCTACGCAATATTTGAGAAGCAAGGTGAAGCCCCTGCAAAAGCATTGGTCAGAGATGTACAACACTACACTGGCCTGCAGCGCCCCATAGTCTGGGTGTATAGCGGAATGGGCTCGCAGTGGCCCGAAATGGGTGCGTCGCTTATGGTAATACCCCGTTTCCGTGAATCAATAGAAATATGCCATCAGACTCTGAAGCCGAAAGGAGTTGACCTCATTCACATATTAACATCCAACGATCCGACAATTTTCCAAAATATTTTGCACTCCTTCGTGGGTATAGCGGCGGTGCAAATCGGCTTAACTGATGTCTTGCGTTCCCTAAACTTGGAGCCAGACTTCATTATCGGGCATTCTGTGGGAGAGCTGGGCTGCGCATATGCCGACGGGGGTCTCACCCAACAGCAAATGATACTAGCCGCCTATTACCGCGGCAGAGTGAGTGTGGACGTGGAAAAAATTATGGGCTCCATGGCAGCAGTCGGCATTGGCTACAAGGCAATTCTGCACATGCTGCCTGAATCCATTGAAGTGGCCTGTCACAATGGTCCGGACTCTTGCACCATCTCCGGACCAGTCGACGATGTGACCCGTTTCGTAGATGAATTAAAAGCGAAGAGTATATTTGCCAAAGAAGTGCCCTGCTCCAATATCGCTTATCATTCG